TCAATTTGACCACAAGCAATAGATACCTACATAAATGTCTGTTGATGAAAACAGAACCAATTTATCTGCTCTTCCCTTTTCCAATCCGGTAACAACTAAGATCTATCCAACAAAGCAAACCAAAAATCCTTGTGTAAACACAACAAAACGAATCCAAAATCCAGGAATTTCAGCTATCTGACATTTGCACAAAGAAATCAGGGGTATTGGAATAACAACACTGAGAATATATACATCTAGATTTTATTCTTTGAAACAAGAGAAAAATATGACGAATAATGGTGGCTTAAATAAAAAGAGCAAAAATCTAGCATGCAGTAATTAACTAGGCTGACAAGCAAAGCGAAAATGGTTACCTCAACTTGGAATTTAAACTTAAAAATAGATCAAAAGGGGGAAGTAAAAGATAAAGAGATGTATGTTTACAATCACACATATTGACATACCCCTCTAGCAACTTTATACAACAAGCGTGCATTTATAAGAGATAACTAAGGGAAATGTTTTCTACAAGCATGATATCTCATTTATTGGTTTTTTTGGGATGAAAAGTACAGATGATAAATAGTTTCATTAAACAGATTCTCACTGGTTCAATCTGCAAGTTCTCAAATTTCTTTAAAATACAACCAGGTAATCTGGAGACTTACAAAATACCTTGTTCATTGTGCAGTGACACTCAATTTTCTTCCAAAGAAACAGTAATTTAACAGGTCACTCAAAAACCAGATGTTCAAAAGCCTGTACTTTTGAAAAATGGAAAAATACAGCCTCATATCTAAAACCACTGAGGTTCTCAAGGTTTGTAAGCAGGTGTATAACTACCATAAATATTACACTAATTATGATATTTCCTCTGTTACATAATATTTTCCACCACTCTCTCCATAATTTGATAATCCTTCAAAAGCAAAAACATTGTCTCTGTAGTCACACTCATTAATAAATGTAGCAGACTTTTATTTGATGGTCAATCTACAAATTTTAAATGCTCTTGCAAACTAAGATTGGTATCAATAACCTTAAAAGTGGTTACCTTTATTCACTCAATGAGCTAAAATCGAAAACCTCAAGAATTTGAAAGAGGTTTTTATCTGGATGTGGCATTTCAATTTTAGCTGTTTTGCAAACTTTGATACTTGACTATAAGCAGAAAGTGGTAATGTACTTTTCTTAGGACCAGATACAAGTATGGCATCCAAAAAAACAAGGACGAAGATAAAAGCATAATAAACCAAAAACATGGATCAATCTGATGAGCCTTAGGTATCTAAAATTTGAAAATAGAATAGAAAAGTGGAAACACACCATTCAAAGCACATTTTTTTTGACACTCCCCAGAGGATGAACATCACATGATAATTAAAATGACTTTATCGTGAAATATTTATTTCCATGCAAATAATCAGAAAAGGATCCCAGGTTTTTAAAACCCATATAAGTCTTTCTTATCAATGCCAAGCTTGCATCAATTTTTGAAAAAAACAATACCAACTCTAAGAAAAATGATAAATTTTTTGGGCAGAAAATCCTTGTTTGCAAAAATGCATCTGTTCTGCAGACACCAGTATAAGGGTGGACTGGGGGAGGGGCTGGCCATACACTATGTGAAAAGGTGAAAATAAAAAAAGGTTTGTTCAAGTCAATGATAATGATTCTTAGCTACACTATGAGAAATTAGTACTTTCATTTCAACATACAAAAAATGTAGCATAAAAACATTTTGCTTAGGAAAAATTATGCTAAACCTCTTGTTAATAACCAGAAAAACATAAAAACTATTACAAAACAACACACAGTGGAGCCTCTATATAATGAACACCTTTTGGAGCACTGCAATTGTCTGTCATTTAGAGATGTCAGTTGCATAGAGGTTCCATTATAGGCATTTTGACCATTTGGGACAACAACGTCACTAGGATGTTAAGCAGTGCCAGTTGAATATAAGTTTTCCTTAAAAAAGGTTCCACTGTATTCCAAAAGAGCATATTGTATTTTTTTACTTGTAATTAAGCCATATCTCTTATCCAAGTGTTAAATAAAGTGATTGAAAAAATGCCTTAGTCATTGCTATTTTAAACAAAAAACCTACATGCAAAATATTTTCAAATTAGAGAATGGAAATTGAATAATTACATCAATAAGTAAAAAATGAAATCCTTTTCGTGTACAAAATTAGTATCCTTGTCTACTAGTTGATCAAGACCTCTATAGCATAACTTTGAATAAATGTGGTTAATTCAAAATTTAAAATAACAGCTTGAAATTTCATTCAATTGCTCTTATCTTTAAAATGGAAGCTTCGTGACACTATGAATGAAAATAGTTTTACTTGTCTGGGTCAGTTTGTCTGGGTCAAAATGTAACAAATAAAGCAATTGTTTGATCGTTGGTCCTTTGCAAGTTCTACATTTTACTTACAGTTAACTGTTTAATAACTAATGGGCATTAAATTCAGTATTATTCAACTAAACAACGGAAAATTACAACGCCTTAGTAAAAGCTACAAGACTATTGACTTTCTTATTCCCTTAAAATCTTTTAATTTCGAAACAAAGACGGTATGGCGTCACAGGCGATTTCATTTCTGTTGAAAGCAAATATGTCCTCTAACACTGCACGCTGCACAATGCACAGTCAACTAAATTAACTTTCATAAAGAAACTCCACAATATTATGTCAGAGAGAAAAAATGTAACGATGTTGGGCATAAATATTTTATCTGAAACGATGGACCCACTCAAGGGAAATAACAAAGATCTTACCTCAATCTCCTTGAGCAAATGATCAGTGTTGTCTCTTTTCTCGTTCTGTTTTCTTCTGCTCAAGGAGCCAGCGGACACTTGGGAAGGGGAAAGATCAAGTCCCTGCCCTTTCACCGTTTCTGTGAGAAACTTTTCTCTGTCATGATGAATACTAGGAAGTGTTCCTTTAATTGTCATTTTTGATATAGATGGTCGAAGATCTGTCTTTATTCTCGACATCTTCTTAAAAACCAGGCATATCCTTATAAATAATGAGTGGTATATGGTTCAAAAAGGTTCCTCCTTTTAAAAAAGGTCCTTTTAAAAACGTTGCCGTTGATTTGAATCATATACAATGAATAAACAGCTGGTTGCAACTTGAATTGACTTTACTTCTATTGATGTGCAGTTTCTACCTCTTTCGAAACTCTCCTGCTCACAATGTTGTTTGAAGTTGTTGTTTGTCTTTCTCTCCTTTGCAAATATGATACCAATGCAAAACAAAACAGCTCACTTTCCTCAATCATAGCTATAACAACCGGTGAATTATCTACTTTCTTTCGCACATTTATGGCCGTTCCAGTTTTGATCTTTCCCCGTTTTGTCTCTATGACAAGAAAGTTGTCCTTGGAGAAAATCTCTTTTCGGACAAAAACCAAATCGAGACTGACGGCGTTATGGCAACCACCGAAGCAAATGCTACTGTAATTGCTATGCCACAAAACTGAAGGCTTTCCGAGTTGTGAAAAAAGATAGAGAGAGAGGGTGAATGGTAAGGATCCGGGCCAGCCAAACATTTCCAGCCCGTTTTTATCAAAGAAATAAGAAAAGAGGTTTACAAAAGTGTTCACAATGCTACAATTGTTCATAAAAAATACATTCAGGTCAAATTTTGATTACTTCCGCAACTGTATTATACTAAAAGACCTTGAGGCTTTACTCATATAATGGATACTGTAGGCTGTGTATCTTTTCTTGAAATCAGACTTTTCACTTTTATATACTACTTTTTATGGATTTATTTTTTGATAGATTGTATTGTATGTAAACAATTAGCAGGAATGCTAAATACAGTATACTTACGTGCAAAAAGTGTTGGGAAAAACTTCGAAATTTCAAAGTTTTTTTTGTGCAACGAATTTGGAAAAACTTTTTAAAATCTTTCTCAATAAAAATGTACGGCAGCTACTACCAGGAAATTTTTGCAAGACATAGCTGATATTTCGAAGCCTTTTATGTACGCCAAAAATTAAGTATCATCAACCAAAAAACTTCCATTGACCGTGAGACGTAAACATGGGAGTTCTTAAAAATCAAAAACTGAGTTATTACACTCTTCTTACCAAAGTATTTTTAATGAAATGTGTCAATAATTTTTTGAGTACCCCGTCATAAAAGAAATAAGACGTTATTATGTCGCAAAACTTGTACACTTTTCATCTTTTATCATTTTTTGTTGAAATAAAAAACCTTTACGCTACAAGCTTTAAGCAAATCAAATCGACAAAGAAAATGCAAAGTCAGGTGACTAGGACTCAGTTCGAATGAGCCAAGAAAACATAGTAATTTTTTACGAACTTGTTCTTGAGACAATTTTTTTTAATCCAGAGAAATTCAAACAGTCTTTTTTCAATTGGGAAAAATGTCTGCATGTACATAGATGCCACCGATTGATTAAAAACAAGCATAGCATTTGGAGTCTTGCTGACTTCGATCGGTACGAGGATACATTTTTTTTATAATTCTTTATTATTTTTCTTGCAATATTTATCGAGAGAGAGAAAATCTGAGGCTGGATTTTCTTTACTTGTTCTCAAATTTATAGGGTGCAAGCAGTGATTGTTAGCTTTTTCGCTTTTTTTGTGGGGGGAGGCTTTATTTGCAAACAAAATGAGTGAGACAACCTTCATTTGCCGAAAGTCTGAATATTCACCGAAAAAGCACCCACAAATTGCTAAAAATCCTAGTTTTGAGATAAAACGTTGTTGAAAATTCCTTAAGTATGTATGTGAATATGTAGTATGTGAATTTTCTCTCTTTAAAAATAGTAAGGTTAACAATAAAATATACTACGCTCTCTGCCTCTCAACGAACCATCAGAAACAGGAAAAAACCATGGCGGCGAGAGGTTTATTTGGAAGAGCTTTAAACGTTGTATTCTATATAATCCAACTTGATCAAATTTCTTCATTTTCTATTTTTAATGTTGAATGGATGATTGGAATGACAGAACAAAACTGATAAACCGACAAGAAATTGCAAATCAAAATAAAGATAGCATCCATTAAGTGAACATGTACATCAAAATCATAAATAATTTAAACTAAAGAAGAATTATCCCACAATGACAATATTCTTTTTGGGTATGAAAGCTAAGCCTAACCACATTTCCCTATTTTGAGAAATTTTTGAAAACTACGTGCGAATGTCTCTCCGCGGAAGTACCTGCAGGTCGTCTGTTTCCGCGGTATCTAGTAATTCTTAATTCCACGAAACGTGCGAGGTGGATACACCAATTCGACTTACGACCTCGTTTTGGAAATTTCTTCAAAATTAATTATACGACTTTTTTAAGCTCAGATTTGGTTTTATCGCCATGATTTTAGGCGGGATACCATTTTTCATATTGTTTCAGCTTGTATTTTAGATTTTACGGAGAAATGAAGTTTGAAAACTTGTAAGGGATTTGACCGCAAAAATCGTTCCGGGGGAAACTTTACCCCCCTAGTCGCAAATCACGGTCAAATCCCTTATAAAGTTTTTATCTTTGTGTCGTCATAAAATCAATATCGTGAGCAATATGATAATGAAAACTTACAATTAGACTAAAATCATTGCTCTCAATCTGAATCTGAGGTCAAAAATTTTATACAAAAAAATTTTGAAGAATTTTTCAAAATGAGGCCGTAAGTCAAATTGGTGTATTCACTACTCACCTTTTAAACATAATGATAGTATAAAAACAATGTAAAATGTATGCAAAGTCATATTGTCTACATGGATGTATGTAATAACATATTACTTTAGTATTGAAAAAATTGTTCTATTTGTGGAAAATTTACAAAGTTAAATCATGGAACATTTAAGTGTTAATTTATCTATAGTAAAAATTCAGAGTAATAGCGATGAAAACTTTCGTCATCCATGATGTTTCTCGCCACCTTTGTTGTATACATTGATCAAAAGAATGAGCCAATGGAAGTTGTGATATGGCTTCTAGTGGTTCAAGACAATGTGTATTTAAGATCGTTAAATCTGCACACTCAAAAGCAGAGAGTGACACAGAGCAACAACTTTGTATGCGCAAAAACCTCCGTTGGCTTCTTCCATCTAACTGCAAGCTATGGAGACAGTTGACCACAATTGCCAACAAGTCTCAAAGTATGTCTATCGTCTACATACATAGGAATTACCTGTGAACGCTGTGTCTACTCTCAGGGTTTAGTCAAATTGACTCCTTTCGAAGCTCGAGGTAGCTGGGGAGGGGGGTTATCAAATAAACGAAAAAGAGGCAGGTTAAAAAGGGCGAATCAAGCAACTTTTGCCTGGGTTTTAGAACTACAGCTGAGTGCAGTTACATGTGGTCGAAATAGCACGGAATTCTCAAACTAACCCAGGTTTAAAAAAACGATTAACTGTAGGTACATATGTAACGCCGTTGAGCTTTGCCTTTTCTCTGATCACATCTTCATCTGGTACTAAGCTTCCACAAAGACGCTGAAAGATATAAAAATTTGATTTTTATTTGTTCACGATAGGTCTCTGAGAACATTATATTTGCTGATTGTGGGTTGGTGTTCTTTGCAAAACAAAAATTAAAACAGATTTGATCAATAAAAGACAATGTACACCAAAATCACAATTTCCTTGGAACCATTTTCAATAAGTCCCAGTATTTGTACCTGTGGTTAAAAAACCAATGAATGATTGACTAAGGAAAGAAAAATAGCTTTCTTCGTGGAAATTGGAAATTCTACTTGGGTGGATATTGAACAATTCTCGATCTTATAGTGTGAATCCTCATCTAAAATATGAGTGATAATACGACTGTAAACAGACAAAAACTAGGCTGGATGATGGAAAATTATGTAAGTGTGATATGATAGGCCTATCTTGAAACTTTGCACTTTTGCTTTTGGCAAATATTTGAAAATGGTCTTCGGCATAAAGTAAGGAGAGGAACGTATTCTCCTTTACACATTTATGAAAATAAAGGTCTCACCATGCAAAACGATATATCAAGTCACATATAAAAAACCATATAAAAACGGAAGTTACCTCGAAAAAGGTACCCGTTCTTTCACGAATGCTTTTGATAGCGAAAATCGGTATCCACATAGCAGTCAACATGACTAGTATCCAGCCCATTGCTTCTGCCCAAGTAGGGTACTGATACCCGTCGTAACTAACACCTTTCCATCCCATTGCAGCAAATACGAAAATCATGAGCAACACACCGGGTGTAAAATATTTCCAGCAAATGGTCCACCAAATGGATGGCCTATGGCCAAGCATTTGAGTCAGCATAATGTTTAGGCGTTCAGTACCAAATAGCCAGCCTACAGTTATTGTTTCCACAAGTGCAACGAAAATAAGTGAAAACCCTGCGGACTGCCAATCAAACAAATTGAATATATAGATGCCACCCTGAAAAAGAAAAAGATTCGTAAGTCAAACGATTCCAATAGAGAGTCAAAAGTGTACAAATTTGAATCGTCAAAGACGGCGTGCATTGGCCAAATGAACTAGTTGAACAGGCAATGAATATCTTTGTTTATCACCACTGTTGAAATATGAGACTTTGCGTTAAAAAGTAAAAATATTCAAGTTCTGAATATTTTCCTCAGACTGCATCTTTATTTTCATGACATTGTCGTGAATTATATGTGAAATAATCATGAGCTTATATTACGACATTTTCATAGCACGCTCCGTGCTACCACAGAAAGAACAGACTTCCTTTAACGATATTACCTGCAGCCTAGAGGCGGTAGTGAGAACACACAAAGCAATCTAGCTAACCGTGATCCCATTTTCACCTTAAGTTTCCCCATTATTCAAAAACCGTTTCTGATTTCTATTTTATCACTTACAAATTCTTCAGTGAGATATTTTCGATTACCATGGGCCTAATTACATGAGAAAAACGCCCAATTTAGCCGCGACGACACGCTTGTAGAGACCCTTTACTCGTGGTCTTTAATTGTCTCATAATATCAAGCCCTAAATCATGATATAAAGATAATGGATAGATATGGCGAAAGATTGCATGAAAATCTAGTTTTTCTAAACAAATGATAGGGATGACTTGAAACAGTGAAGAATACCATACCTCACAAACCATTGGAATGGCAACGATGTAACACAGGACGCAAACTATCATAATGAAAACTTTCTTGTTTTTTCTCAGTAGCTTTGGATACTCGTCCATGAGATTGGTTACAACGCACTCCATCATGCCAAACTAAATTGCGAACACAAAAAACTTCAGATTCAGATTCTTTGGCCAAAAAAAATAATCAAGACAGTTAATTGGTGATTGCAATGGCAATTTTTTCAAGATAGAAAAGACCTGGTAGGAATAAATTCCACGATAATTTTTTGAGTAAATTTTGTTAATTTAAAATATGTTTTTTAAATTTGTGGATTCTTTCTCGTTAGGCTTTTCAGTAAGTACACAACAAACAACCAGCTTTGGAAAGCTCTCAAATGACGAAGAAAAGTTTCAAACCAACCTGACTATCGAGCCCAATTGTAAACAGCATGAAGAAAAAGAGACTAGACCACAATGGTGATATTGGCATCTTTGAGACACCTTCTGGGTAGATAACGAAAGCAAGGCCTGGGCCTGTGAAAGAGAATTGTAAATGCGTATAAGATAGTGGCAAAGAAAATTATAACTGTAAGATCAAAAGGCTGTTAAACCATCACTCTTTGCCTTTTCGATTAAAACGAAGCCTTAAGTCGAAGAGGGAACAAAGCTAAAGAAGCTACCAAAATGATTTCATTTAGATCATAAAATTTCATGACACTAACAGCTTGATGGGTATTTGTGGACAAAAAAGTTATTAATATTTTTGTGTATAGTTAGTTTCCATATATTCATGAAATATGCATAATTGAAATTCCAGCTACAATTGAACATAACGCGGTCTAGTCAATAGGTAAGGAAGCTTTCGGTGGATTAATATTTCGAATCTGAAGTGGGTAGAAAGTCTTGTGTATAAAAATGGGTTTATGTTTAAATATAAGACAAAATCTGCCGAAGTTAAGGGAGACAAATAGTACTTTCCCGAATGGCCAGAAAGTAGGCCATTTCGACAACTAATGATCTTTCATACAGACGTAAGGTTACGCTTAGCTTTTGAAAAGTTTCTAAGCGTCAGAGAATCAAACAATAAAGAAGTCAGGAGGACAGATTTTGCCCATTCCATTCCAAGACATGAAAGTGACTACCATAAGCACGAAAAATAAAATTAAGTACTGTATATTTCAGTTTATAGTCGAATGATAGTTTATATTTACCCGATGTGACCACTTGCGATATATCAACGTTCAATTTGAAAGACATGTAGCCTAACAAACTGAAGATGACAACACCAGCTAAAGTGCTACTAAAAACATCCATGAACCCAAGAAATATTGCATCCCTGTAAAACAGATATGAATATTTTTGTAACTGCTTTTCTATGAACTGAGGCTGCAAGAAGGTAATAGTGTCAGTAAGAATGGTATAGAATCGTGCATAAAACACTTTTTAAAAGAGCTTATAGGATATCTATCTATCACAGGTTATCTACATGTGCAGAGTTCTAATATTTCTATGATGTTGTACCTCCAAATTTGTGAATTGAAATTTTTGTAGAGGACGAGTTGGAGAATAATTGAAAGCGAGTTCGTGTAAAATATTGCATGAATTTCAACAAGATTTGGACTTAGCAAGAGACGAGGTACGGCTCATCCCTTACTTTGAATTTACAAAATTATAAGAGAAGCTTATTCTGTTATTGACACAGAATTGCGGATCTTGGTAGCATAATACCTACAGACCTCATCGTGGAAATTCTATGGGCTCTTGCCTTTTAAGCATCTTGGCTACGTAAGCATAATACATCCTAACCTCTTTATGAAAACCTTCCCAGGGGGGCTCAATTCAGTTGAATGTTTTGTCTACGTATTTGCTACGTCACAAAATTTGATGAACACTGAAAGAAATTGGTGAATGATTCCCCAGATATGGCAATTCTAGGGTGAAAATAAAAATGACTGCTAAGTAAATAAGAAAGATCTACCAAAAAAGAAAGTTAAGATATAAGCTTACTTAACACAATTGTTAGTGAATTTATTGTAACTGCCAAAGGAAAGCAAGGAGCCAAAACCAGGCCCAAGGGAGTAGAACAACTGACTTCCTGCATTGCCCCAAACCTGAAAAAGCAGCAGTTAGTATTCGTAAGAATTTCAAGTTTATTGTGGCTCAAAAGAAACAAATAAAACAACTATTACCAAACCATTTGCAAGAAACATCCAAAGTTAGGAATCCATCCTTTGTAAAGCTTAAATCTTATACAAATTGACACTTAAGACGACTTAACGCTTATTCTGATAAAAATGTGATGATAGAAAATTTTCAAGATATATTCAAATTTGAAAATAGTACAGAAAAGCGGAAACATGTCATACTAGAGTACCTTTCGTTCGACAATCGTCAGATTATAAACGTCGGATAATGTCCATAGGTAAGTAGAAAATTTTCTTTGGTGATGACATTAGTAGGGGTTAGGAGGAAAGGCAGTTCTAAAGACGGAAATGTTTTTCTTGTTCTTGCAAAGATTCTTCGTAACCATTTAATTTCTTAGAAAAAAAACAACTAAAGGCCTTCTGTGAACATCTATCTTCATTCTGGATTAAAACATATAAAGAATGCCCGGTCTTTTTAAAGCCATTCTCAGCAATAATAGCCGTATAAATCTTACTTGTGGTGGCTTGACTTCGCATATACCCTTAACCCATTAATCTCAAATTCGCTACGAAGCCGCAGAGGTATTACGTAATTCATTCAAGTACACACACCTCTGCGTTGCAATAGATGCCACGCAGTACCAAACCAAAGTATAGCCTTCATAAAGCTGGTTTCCTCCGGGTTGCAGATACGATATCTTAGATAATGAGACCAGGTCGTCAAAGAGTTGATATGGCAAAATAAACGATAAAAGCAACTATAGTATACAAACCTCAGGTTTAGCCATGTTCGTAAAATTTGGTTTCAGGTAGTGCAAAACACCATCGGTAGCTCCTTCAAGCGTTAGGCCTCTGATCAGCAAAATGAAAAGAACAACGTAGGGGAAAACTGCCGTAAAGTAAACGACCTGCAGAAAAAGATACGTAAATGATTATGAGACAGTGGCGGACTGGTAAGGCATGGTGGGGTGCGATTTCATCCCAGGCCTACCCTTCTGTTTACACTCACGAGCTCATTCTTCGATCATACTTCATTCCTTTAAACATAACCTATTAAACCCCTTGAATGTCAACATCACTAGAAAAGTTATTCCTGCGCACCCCTAGGAGGCAACACCCTCTTCCGAATTTGCATAAAATCCTAGATGACATCAATGTTTTACAGAATTGCAAAAACGAGGTTAGAGACAGGGTCAGAGCTATAAACTAAGAACAAAAAGGAGACAAAATGTCATAAAGGAAAAATGGTATTGCACTCTCGATACAATTTCAATTGGGTTTGAGAAATACCCTTTTTTAGGTACACATAGATCATGGAATTTTCTCTGAATTGACTTACCAATAAAGGGACCAAGCCACCCGAACGTTCAAGGCTCATTTTTTAGAGTTAGGAGATGAGAAAGTACCAGGAGAGACTTGAAATTTCTGATGTCCCTGCACAAGTTACTATTTAGTAGGATAATAACAGATATATAACGATTTTAAAAAGTTGCAGCAGTCAAAAAAAGAAATGGCAAATTTCGTAGTGAAAATTCGCTGTACGTCAGATTTTATTGCAGTTGTTTGATGACTTCTCTAATTCGCAACGGAAATAAAGACTGAAAATAGAATTGATAACGAAACTAAGATGACAAAGAAAATGTCAAGTGCCATTTAGTGCCAATTTGAAAGAGACAACTGAATACGAAACATGTACCTTTCCAGCAGATTGGATTCCTTTACACATACAAAGATAAACGACGATCCATGCAAGGAGCAAACACATGGCCAGCTGCCAGGAAACCGATCCAAGATCATTGATACTGGGCGACCTTTGCAGGACATATCGGCTAAAAATCAATGGGACACATGACAAACATAAGCGGAGGTCAACATCAGAATATATTTGAACAAACATCAATGGAGAGAGACATTACCCGAATGATATCACAGTTGCGAAATACATTATTTATGTAAGACGTATGGCTTTCAGTTACAAGGACAGGTTTCACAGCCATTAAACGGGGGGAAGGAATGGGGTGAAAAGCTTTTATCTGGGGAAGGATTTTTATCATCTTTCGTCCCACTTCTTTGTTTTTACATTAATTGTTATTTAATTGATAATTACTTTTTGGCTTACGTTCTTTTTTAAGCGAAATTACATTAATTTCTGCTGAGCCTCAAATTCCCTAAAAATTTGTGATTCTGAGCCTAAGACTATACTTGAGCAAGCAGAAAGCTCAGATCTTTGGTACTTTCTTCCTTCATATTGAAAACATTATACGTAAGATATCTATAGATGGATTCTAATAAAATGTATTTCTTCAAAAAAGTGTGTATCAGTTTTGTGTTTCTGTTCATTGTTTACAGCACCTTATAATTCATACTGTCTGCTATACCTTTTGTCTAGCAAAGGCTAGGATCTGCATCAATCAGTATATGTTTTTATAAAGCCAGTACACGTAAAGGCTATTTCGAAATTATAATCATGTTTACATTCAAGAAAGGAATTCAACAAAAAGTCATTGGGAGTTTAAAGAGACCGACAACACTCTATGATCAAACTATTCATCTGCTTTTTAGTTTCTTCAAACATCTGATTAACAGACTAATCTTTTATCAACATGGATAAATGTAAGACATTCGGTTAAACAATACACAAAAACATCGACATCAATTTTCAATTCATCTTTATGGCTTAGGCCATCCTCTTTACAAAAACACGCGGTCGCGTGAAAACGAGACAAACTGATTACGTAATCCCCTAAGAAGAGTTCCTTATTGGGAGGGGTTTAAAACTACTTAAATTTACCATCTAATAATAAAACAACTTAAATTCACCACCTATTAATATAAAAGATATTATTGTTCTTACAATCCAACACAAACTTGATATACCAACAAGGATCCTACTGAGTTGAAAGGAGGCTGGACACTAATTTTGCATAACAAACTAGGAGTATCCAAAGTTTGTGTCAACAAAGGCTCTTTGCATCACTAAAAGAACAAGAGAACATTTCAAGCAAAATACGGCAAAATGTCTCACCTAAAGTAATCATCCGGAGGGGAAACTCTTTTACTGAAATCAAATGCAGAAACACATTTTGCCAGAACCGAGATATTCTTCCCAGCACTAATAGAAACATTTTTATACACAGCGTTGTACCCAGATAAACAGGTTGCTTGTCCCGTCGTGTAATTATATTGTGAGCCATTGCCGAGCTGACCGTATCCTTCACGGCAGTTGGCTGAGGCCCATTTTGGATCACAGCTTCGCCAAGGAACGTCCGATCGGAAGGAAGCAAACAGATAGAAAAGAATCCAGGCGATGATGACATTGTAGTAAATACTAACAAGTAACGAGACCATCAACATAGCATGACCAATTCCTGAAAAGAGAGGTTTGCCATCGCTTAGATCTTTAAGGCCTAACCTTCGATAAATAAGACTACTAAAAGCAATTACAGCCAAACAGGTTTAGTTACAACTCGAGCAGTATGATTCTTACTTTGTTTCAATTACTGGTCTGAGAGGTATAATTTCATCTATTAATGGCCTAAGAGGTATAATTTCATCTATTAATGGCCTAAAAGGACTGCATTAAGGTTTATAGAGATTCTGTTAGCTTGTCTGCAGACTCACAGTCTGTAACGAGAAACGAAAATTTTAGAGGATTCAAAGTCTGCACACAGAAAATCATCAGGGTGTACAAAATTTGATTTGGTCATCATTCGGTATTCTCAATCTTGCTGGGAAAGCAGAATATAGTATGCTAGCAATCTGTAAGTTTAATTTATAGTTGATAGTACTTTTTGAAAACATTCCAACCCTCAATTCCGTGATCCCTGCATCTTGGTAATTGTCTCTCAGGGTAGGAGCGCCCTTGCCCTACTGACAAGCACTCTCACAAAATATGAAATATCTCTCTTCAAATCAACGAACTTGCTCTTAAAAACTACCATACCTCTGGTCAACGGACAGATTATTCTCCAAGTTCCGATTGGTCCTTCTGCAAAATATTGGCCAAGTGCAACCTCCATGAGGTAGAGTGGAACTCCAGCGCATATTGACATAACACAGTACGGAATTATAAAGGCGCCTGAAATTTGAATTAAAGAATTACTCAACAAAATCATGATTCGCTTAGGGCTAGCTATCTGAATATGTAATTCATTCCCCTTTCATGATGAACGATACCTCTAGAAAAAGAGCTTCTCCTCCTTTTTAGATTTTCCAGGCACGTCAATATGTCTTAGATGAAGCTAAAAGAGTATGAAAAACAACACACGAGTACTAAATTCTGTGCGTGTTATTGTAATATTTTGCTGTAGATAAGTAGGTACCATCTTAGAGGGTATAGGCAGTGGGTCTTCATAGGCCAATTGATAAAAAAAATCTCAGGACAAAAAGAGATCTTTCACATAAAATCTTAAAAACCATAAGACATGGCCTTCTTTACAGGGGTTAAGCTAGAGAAAGCTGAGCCTGATTTCCTAAAAAAGAGACGCTCAGTTATTGCTCAAAACAAAGTAACTACGCAGGGGCTACCGGGGTCAACGCTGCCAAGTTAGCATGAACAAAATACGCGGCATAAAGAGAAGCTCGAAAAGAATTCTGCTTTACACGTTGGATTCAGTAAGGAATGTTGAGACTCTGTTTTCCAACGACATGCTTCGGACATGTCGTCCGGAAATCATGAGAAAACTCGCGAGAAAAGTCGTTTTTACCGAATTCAAACAGAAAGTTCAGAAAGACTTCCAGTCAAGTGATAAAACCGTGAGTAGGGTAATAAATAGAATAATGTCAGTCACTGCGCCCATACCGCGCCCACTACGCCCCACCACACCCCATCACTACTGTTTTCTGGAAAAGTTTTGCAGGTTGGCTGGTGGAAGGTTGAACAATTTATGGACTCTGCGTTGAGGAACTTGATTGGAAGGTTCGTGGATTAGAAGCGCTTGGCCTAGGAAGGATTTGAATACAATTGCAGTTCAATTAACTGAGTAAAACGATTCTGGTTTTGGTAAGCGACCTTAATTGGGACTAACCGACCCATGACAACGCTTTATTGAAGTGTGTCAAAATTCAATACAGCGCTTTACAAGCACACGGAAGGCCTCGGACTCATGAGTTTCCGGTAAAGAAAAAGTGAGCACTAGATTTAAAAGTGTTGTGAACCTTACGTTCAACGTGTTAGCCTTTCGATTTGAATTGATAATTTACAAGATATAAGCTGATAACATGTTATTTTGGTACTCAAATCGAAACCTACGCCCTCTTCCCCCCCCCCCCCTCAACTCCATGAACTTCGACACGTGTTCTTTCCTTACTAAGAACTTGGGGTGAGGTCTCTAACAAAAAGTAAGGGGATGTGTTTAAACATTGACAGAACTGACGGGGACGACATACAAATAAAAATTGCACATTCTACCCCTGATTTCGTCTGAGATTTAAATGACAATTTTCTATAGGATTTCCATTTTTACATTAATATTTTACTTGGACTTTTTTGTTACATTAAGGGTGTTAATGAATTAGTTGCCTCTCTGCATAAGTTGTCTGAATCTCTTAATTTTTGGAAAGCTGGCGTCAATCTTATCACAACTCACAAGCCAGTGCAATACACAACCCCCGGCGCAAGGTAACAAAGTATACCATGAAAAAGAGATGAATCATTAATGAATGAACTTTCAAGGGTGTATTAACAAGAAACTAGCATCTTTTGTAGGGATCTAAATGAACCTATTGGATGTTAAAACAACCCTGATCTATTGAAACAAACAATGAATAGAATCAAAATTGTGAAAATCACAACTATTGACGGAGCATGAACTTGGAAAAGAGCTAAATTAGAACTGGCTGTAGTTGTTTAACAGAACATTCGGCGTTAAAATGACTAAAACACTTTTCAACAGTGGAAAAGGAACAGAAGCATAGTTTTAATGAGGTCGATATAGTCATGCCCGCCTCTCAGAGAAAAAATTTTGTTTATCTTGGATTAAATCCTCATCACTTTCAAAACAAAACAGGCTGCGTTGAACTGCACTTGCTTGTGTTTTTTAATAAAAACTTTAATAAACACATTAATAAACACAACCACGTGGGTTATAGGCTTTGTTTCTGTAATCCAACCCTTTACAGTTTCTTGCATACGAACAAATGTGCGTGACTGAGAGGTCTATTGAACCGTTTAGCATCATTAGCAACCAGCGGAAACCTATACTTCTCCGTAGCCAAAGGGTTATATAAGTCTTCGTTAAATCCGAAATCTGAAAAATATTGAAGTCTTACGAAAATCTTAATATAGTGTACGAAAAAGCTATAATACCTCCACCGCTCTTATATGCCAGATATGGGAACCTCCATACGTTGCCCAAGCCAATCGTATATCCCACACAGGATAAAATGAATTCTGCTTTGTGTCCCCATGTTGGTCTTTCAGGTATAGAATCTTCACTTTTCTCTATATGAGTCTCTCCCATTGGTTTAAGAACGACAGAATCCTCATTCTTGCTGTTACCGCTTCCAAGAATTCCCATTTTGTGGCGCCGGTGTCCAACAAGAGTAAAATTGGAATCGGAGGGTCTACCTGGAAATATAAGTTTAGGAATAATTGTTGTGCTCGTTCTGACTGCTTCAGCAAGCTTGCAGCCGCACACCCTAGGCAGTCATACATGTCCAGAGCAGTCTATTTAACAGTTGAATACGCTTGTGTAATTTCACTAGTGATTCCCCAATGGCTGTGGTCATACTAAATCGCGCGAAATTCAAAAAGTAAACGCGGGTTCCAATGCTTACAGCAGGTCCTTGAGGTTGGCCAATCATAGCGTGATATCCTGAGGCCTTTTATAAACAATTCGGCGATAATTCAAAAAAGCGGCTTTAATAATGCAAGCAGGCCGTGAGCGGAAACAAAAGCTCTTTGCTGCCCCACCCGAAAATGTCTCGATTTACAAAAGAAGCACTTCCAAATAAGGCTGAATTTCCGGGTGTTGGTTAAGAGCACTGCGGTAGACTTTAAAAATTAAACGCCTCGTTGCGTTAACTTGGCCATTTGTTGATGTTACGAGAGACAGGGTTTGTATGAAGCGGGGGAAGAGATAAATAAAAACCTTGAGTAATGGCGATACGTGAAAACAAAAGGGTGTTAGAAGAAACATAATAACGACAAATGTGGCTAAAATATGTACTTGGAAGAAGACTTCTTAGAAGGAGAAGTAAATCTTGGAAGAAGACTATTTACAGGGCGGTCGAAACTTGGCGCTGGCAGTGGCATTTGTGTCTGACCACTCAAAAATTTTCTGAGCGGCTTAGAAGTTCTTTTTATAAAAAATGAAACACAATTCAGGGTTGAATGTGTGCAAGTTATTCTATTGTGAAACACAAAGCAATTCTGTATTTTCGAGAAACCGCGAATTACTTTAAAGTCGCTGACAATCTCAACACCACGACATGCCACACCATGCAACCAAAGATTCCCATCTTCGAACGCGATTTCGATTTCACAAACTTAAACAATCCATCTTGAATTATATAATTCATTCCTATGGAACTTTTTCAACCACTTCTTTTAGTAGCCTAAACGTTTGGACGTTTTACAGAATTTGACTGAGAAAGAAATGTTTGTTAAATGATGATTAAATGAAATTTAATCAAAGTTAATTTCACGAGGGGCTTTTGAGCGTTAACTAAATTACATGAGATTGTTGTTATTACTATTTCGTTATGTTTTCTTGTGCCACGCTTCCTCGCGTTTTGCTTGTATCTGCTCTACTAGTTTATGGGCAATGCAGGGAGTCTTTCGGCCTCTTGTGAATTTGATTTGTATAACTAGGGTAAGATGTGTGTTTCGTGGCGTTTTCATTCCCTTGGTTAATCTAGGGGTATCTAAGGTTTTGGCATAGCGTGGGTCTCATCTTGCTTGGTGAAGCCACAATACAACTAGGCTGTTTTATTGTATTTTCCCAGCCTTCCCTCCCTCAATTTGTTTCTTTATGTTAAATGCCTTTTCAGTATAACTTTGCGCGTTGAGTTTCTTTTATGGTATCGTTAATACCTCTCATACCTTTAGGCATCTTTTATGCTTCTTAGAGTTTTCTGATGCTATTAGGTAGGACTGGTGCATCGGCTATTATAGGGAAAAGAAGCTTTTCCTGTCCATTCCCTCCCAATTATCAACCATATTTGGGGGTTATTGTGTAACTTCCCTTAGTAACCCCTTAGTAACTCGCTCTCGATGATGTGGGAACGTAGCCTCATGACTGACCTTTCTGATGTCTATGGCAGTTTTTCTGAGGGAGCTTTATGCCCTTTATGTTGGATTGGTATTCCCGAGTTAGTAAATTAAGTTTTGTTTAGTACAAAGCATGAAATCGAGGATGAAATTTTACTGCATTAGAAATTCAAGAAGAGGTAACAATGGAATTCCAATTCAAACGCTTTTGTTGCATTAGCCCACTGCTAACGCGACATATGCCTTTTAAAACCCACTGTATAACACTGACTGAGAAATATCTACAGCACATTGAGATTTTTCACAAAGGGACACGCTTTCACTTAATCAAGAGCTTGAGGTCGGACCAGTGGCGGCGCAAGCTATTACAGAGTGGGAGGGTAATGGGCGTGGCCAATATGACCACGCCCCTTTTGCCTCGTTCCAGTGATTCGTCCCTTTCCTTGGGAAATTTGATCTACCCTTACCCAGCGCTTTTTAATCCATTTTTAGAAGAAATATATAGACCATATTTTCAGAAAAGTGGGGAGGTAATAACCCCCCCCCCCCATACCACGTCGGACCCTAATTAGAAATAGAAAGGGAAAGGTCTTCGCGGCAAAGAAGTGAGAAGGTTTGGCAAACTGTTGGGTTCATCCCTTATCTATTCTAACTGATAAATTCCTGGGTTTCGCAACAACAATGTATACTGTTCAATATCGCATCATTTAAAGTCGGGTACTTACTAAAATTTACGCAGGAAGAACAAAAAGGTCTTCTTGCCGTCTAAAGGAGATACTGTCTAAATTATTTCTGTACATTGACATTATAGTTAGTCTGTTAGATAGTTAGTCAATCACTTTTTTCTGAACGTAAAATGAAATTTTGTCTTGTCACGTGACCGGAAGTAAAATTTGAAATGGTACCTGGCAGATTTGAATTCTCTGTTTAGAGAACCTTGACAACACCTGCGATTAGTCAGTTGCGATTAGTCAGTTACGGTTCTTTCCCTGTTTATGAGTTCCATACTTCTTGACATCTGTGGGATACAGTGTCTAATCCGTTGCTTTAGTGCTTGGTTATTCAGTTTGGACTCGATTAGAAACTTCCTGTCGGTCTATTCAATATTTGGCGTAAGTTTATTAAGTCTGTCTTTTCAAGTCACGCGGGGTTCATCTGGAAAGCCCGGGTTTAAACAAAAAACTTGTTAAAACTTTTCCGTTTGTGAAATGAGTCAATTGAAGCGCAAGTTGACTTTAAACTATCAGTTGGTGATCGTTCCACTAAGCTCGGTTAAACTGTATCAAAAATGAATCGAAGAATTCAAAGAATTATAAGCAAAGCACGCAAATCTGTGAGAGAAATAAGTTTCTCTAGAATTTCCTATTAAAATTATTCCTTGAATTTCCTTTTAAAACGTTGTTCTTGTTGTGAGGGAGACAAGAGTTATCCGGGTTTGGCGTTTCCACTAATCCACGGGTGAGTTAAAAAATAGCTGTGTTAAAACTGATCCATCCACCCTAAGACCATCTTTTAAACTTTTCCGTTTATCAAGGGAAGTTAATGGGAAGGCAACGCAAAAAGGCTTCTTTAACAATATTTGTTCTAACCGAGAATAGTGGAAGGAAAGGCTGCCTTAAAACAACACAGAAAACGCAGAACCAGTTACCGATTAGAAAAAAGAAAAATTCCTTAAGCTTGCATGGGAATTAGGCCGTTCATGATTTTAGTTTTTGGGGGGGGGGCCTATTATAGGTTTGCGGCCTGGACCCCATTTTTACGCGCAGCCTCCGGACTTAAACATGTTTTATCTACGGATTGCGGTTTCAACAAAAGGTGCGTCTTGCGTCTTTCGGTATAAATTCGCAACGGTTTACAGCTTCCATAATACGGTCGCGGCCTTGAAATGAAGTAACGATCCGCGGCAAGGCTTTTCACTTTACACTAAAGGTGCTTTTAGAAGAAGAGAGGGAGAGGAAATGTAAACTATGGTGCCCATTCCAAAGAGGTAGGACAATACAGTGACATAGTGTAACTGGCACCTCAATGGCCGTGTAAGCAGGACCGTACTTTCCATTGGGTTATCGAAGAACATTGTCTCGACAAGGCGGACAAAATATATACGTACAGTTTTCAGAATGATTCGTGGGATGGTCAGTCCCAATTAATTCATAATAATAGGGGTTGACGTAATATTTATGACTAGGGAATTTTCAGGGGATAATTTTACAGACAAGACAACTAGATCTCCGTTTGTGGACATGGCCTTGCAAAGCGAGCTGGGCCAAGGTGGCAGTTAGCCCCTAGAAATTTTGAAGGCTGAGGTTTTATATGGCGCATAATCTGCTTGTAAGCATAAGGGGCCGCGCAACATGTCAAAAAAAAAATAAAACCAACTTGTGCTTTAACAGGTTTTTTGAACCAAGCTTTACATTACTTATCACTGCGCGAAAGCACAAGCTTTAGATGTCCAAGCTGCAAAAATTATATAGATGACACTGTCTCATATGAACTGTCATAGCACCCTAAATTCACGAAAGAAAAGAGGGATGCTTCTACACAACCTGATACAACTATCAAGCAATATAATATCATCAGATGTCTTTGCCAAAAACTTTGTACAACCTCTTATGTTACCTCCTTACATTTCCACTTATTTTACGAAAAAATAAACAAACATAGTTCCTTCGATGGAAACGAGGACCTTATTGGAACCTTTTTGATTGTATTAGGAAAATTACCAAGACTTAAGAGAAAGGAAGTATTTGAAATCTTTACAAATAAATAAATATTTAAATTAGCACGGGGGATGAAATTGCCCAATCTTCTAACATGTAAAGTGAAAACACTGGATTATAACGATGATATGCTCAGCGAAAACATTGAAACAGATTTTATAATTCAAGGAGCACAAAGACTACTGTACCAAAGATATGGTCTCCCCTATGGAGCTTTTCGTCAAAACCAATTTCAGCATTTATGGAAATGTTCCTTTTTTATTCACAACTCCCAGCCTTCCTTATTAGTCCCGATATCAAGACTTTGTCCCAACCACTCAATGTGAGAGATTTTCTCCCTATATGAAGAGAAACCATCTAATTTTTTTGTAAAGGCAAAATTGCTTCAAAAGGTCCATTTTCCAGTGAACTTGAATCACTTCTACTTAAAAAGATTGTTCATCCTTCTACGGCAACCATGGTGCTGTCTCGGGTGGTAAATCTGTCGAGACGTTTTGTTAAGATTAAAGACGCATAGTTGTCAATAAACAATTGAGCAAAAAATTCTAATTTTTTATATACATAGCAATAAATGTATTTTTCGGCTCATGTATTGGATTTTATCTAGCTAGAGAGGCGAATTTTTCAGCTTTCAATTAATTTTTCAATAACTCATGAAATTGTTTCTATTTCTAGGAAGCGAAAAAAGTAATACAATGACGGGTCGAATAGTAAAAGTGGCTATCTGCCTTGTTGGCTCAGAGTCAGAGCACAGTTTGGTCGCACAGTGAGGTTCAAAAACCGATTTATTCAGTAGAGCTTGAGTAGGGCTAGCTTTGTTTTTCGAATTTTGATCAATTCATACGATTCAGGGTATACACTTTTCATAAGAAAATAGTCTATAAGAATATTAAGACTCTAAATCGATGAAATTTAAGAAAAGTTTAAGAATAATGCAACGCTCATCAAGAAATTTTTGGTTTATTCGAGTTTTGTTCAAAGCAAGAAAAATGCGAATTTCACGCTATCTGTCTTTAAGTAGACGTATTTGGCCTTGGAGTCTTTATTGTGACTCAGTGACACCTTGTATTTTTAAGAATAATTTAAGCATGTTGTGACTCAGCAAAAATTAGGTAATCTAAAGTATGGTGGGAATGTGAAAAATACTTGGATACAAACGTGTTGATGAGTCATTTGATGTTTAAAAATGTTTGAATTGATACAACGATAGCTTGCTGCGAAACATATCTAGGACCATAAGAAACAGTTACTTCTTATCCCCCTTTTCAAGTAAATTTATGATGATATCTTACAATTAATTCACAGTTCAAATTACCAAAGCAAAGTATTTGGAAATTGTCAAATGTTCCATTCCTACCCCCAAAGTAGAAAGTTTTTAAGGAGATGTCAGGACACATTGGACCGACTCACACACAAAATGGACCGAGTCTTCAAAACCAAACTTTGCAGATAAAAATATTGAAAATGTATCAAGAATATGTTCAGGGATAGCCAAAGGGCCCCGTACTCAGGTAAAAATACGGAATTGATTCTCTTTGGAACTGTCACGATCATTTCGTACTTTTGAGGAAAATCTAGGGACACTGGATAAAAATGTTTTGCTCAACTTGTTTTTGGGGAACAACTAAAGAAACTCGAAAAACATACATGTATCAAAACTGATAGTCTGAAGTCTTTTGTGTGGAGGGTAGAACCTGAAGGGGAGACAATGTGCCTGAAGGGGATACCTGGGAGAGACAATGTGCCTGAAGAATTTTTTAAATTTGAATTTTAGGACATCTTCTTTGGCTCTACTAACCACCAAGAGCCCTAATAACCAGAAAATTCAGTTGTTTGATCACTTCTTCATACTACAGTCATACTGTTATTTCTAGTCACTTAAAGTCTTAGATGCATAAGATAGCGAGAAATAATGCTAAAATAAAGTTCATGCGAAGCTAAAACTAAGCGAAATCCACTCTTTCGATGTTCTCAAGAAGAAATCGTTATAAATATTAGAAATTGACTACATGTTTCTAAAGAGTAGATATATTAGGTGTCTTTTTTAAGGGGTACTCATCGAGTGTGAAAAAACAGGAGCTGTAGTGGGCCAAATTCTCTTTACGGTTGCGTTCACGTGGCTTTTCATAATATTTCCTTATAGTTTGACCTAATATAGTTATTTCGTCTTGCATCAAAAACATAATTTCTAATAATTTTTAGCATTGTTTATTGGTGCCATATTGAATTAAAAAGTAAGGCCAGAAACAATATTTTCTGACCTTATTAGAGATTGGTTACTTGCTTCTCTCAAGTATACACCAATTCGACTTACGGCCTCGTTTAGGAAATTTTTCCAAACTTCATTATACGACCTTTTTATGCTCAGGCTTAGCTTTATCATCTTAATTTTAGGCTGGATACAATTTGTTCATATTGTTTGTGCTTATATTTTAGATTTAACCCAGAAATGAGGCTGTAAGTTGAATTGGTGTATTACGTGCTTTGTCTAATTTGTTTAAAATAAGAATAACTTCGCGGGAAACAGGTCTAGCCTCAGATAAAAAAATTGAAAAATGAACAATATCTGTTTAGAGATTTGAAGATTTAGAGGAAAGATTTTATTAGCAAATCAATCCTGCAACTTAAATGGTTTAAAAAACTGCTGTAGTGATCTTAGAGAGAATTCATAGTATAAAGATGTGGACCAATTAATGTAGATAAAAACACAATGATGCTATCTGGTGTTTTCGTCTATTTTGTTGAGACAATATAAGGCAAGACTATTTGCGGTAGATTCTATGCTAATGTCATTTTTACTGATCGTGAAGTATAAAAAGCTGCCTCATCTTTTAAGCGCCTCCTTCGAGAAAATGCCCCAAGAAAGGTTTGAAAAATTAAAAAGAGCAACCCGGGCGTAATATGGTATCTTAACAGCTCGACATATCAAAAGTCACTTGAGTCAATGCTGTTATCAAATAGATAATTCTAACACAACATTAAAAGATGTATTAAGTTATTTTGTTTTTTCATATTTCATACTGGGAACCAAAGTTATTTCATATTTCAAAACCAAAAAAATCTAAATAGTTATATTTTCTCCCCGGAGACTTTAATTATACCATATTTCAATTACCCCTTATAGGGCCCCATTGCTATCGCGGCCGCGTCATCGCGCTTAATTTCATTGTGGATTGCGGCATTTGGTTGATTTTTGCACGGTTTTGCGGCTTTTGGTCCCCCTATAATAAGCACCATTTTGACTGTGGGATTTCGAAGGTTAGTTCAGGCATAAACTAGGGAATGAACAGAAGAGCCCTAAATGCGAATTGTTTGTTTTCAGTTATTGATAAGGGTAAATAAAGTCTTTAAAACCAGCTTTAGGATTTTATAAAATGGAAACTTAAATTTTGCGAAATTTCGTATTTCCGCATGGTCGGGTCTTGATGCTAAAACTTCAACGCTCTTTTCAATGAAAATAAAAGGCTGACTCCCTTGTCGGGGCATGCTTAAACTGACAATGGATTTTTTATGCTCTGCGCATGCATTTTGGTAAGAAAAAAATATTTCCATAGAGGTTCAGTTTTGAAGCACTAAATTGAAGCTCGATGGAAAGAGCTTGGCCTCTCTACCTTGAAATTCGTGGCGTGGGCCTGCAAATGAAGATTGTCTCACTCACTTTGCTGGCGACTGGGGCCTACCACCCCCCCCCCCCCTGGAGCGAAAATGCTAGCAAGCGCGCTGCTTACACCCTACTTATTTAATAAAAAGTTTAAAACAATCCAGCCTCAGATTTTCGAAAAAATCAAGAACAGTCAGCCTGAATTTAAATTTACTGGTTCTTATAAAAAAGAGTGTATATCAAAGTGCACACTTGCATATTTAAAATTTTGAAATCAATTTCTCCTTTTCAAACCTTGACTTGACAGAGAAGATCAATCATTTAAAGGCATTGAGTCATGATAAATAGACTGGGTATACCCTAAGTGCCAAAATCCGCTGAGTCATGATTTCCATGACTGCGATGCTATTGGTTGACCTTGAACTGGTCACATGAACTCACCTCGTACTGATTAACATAACAGTTTCCATCAATAGCAAGTTGTCAACAACGGATGCCAATATCACATGAAACAGCAGCGATCACGCCGAAACCAAATGACCCCCTATAGAGAAAGCCTATTTACCATGACTCAATGCCTTTAAATATATACGTTTTAAATTTTTTTTATTATTATTATTATCATAAGCTAGCTAGATTCTGATTTATTTTCAACAAGAAATTGTTACCAATCTAATTGCATACGTATTTGATAATACTTTGTTATATTTTTAGTACATGTCGTTTTGTTTAGCGTTTTCGGTCCTTCGAATAAGAAGAGTTAGGCGTTTTTGAGAAAAATTCGATTTATTATTGACCGATTTATTATTGATTTATTATTGAGAATGATATTCTAGAGAAAAAATCAAGATGAATTTCTTGAAAAAAGGTGAAATTATTCCTTTTATTTATAGTGGTTGCAATAATCGACATTGTGAGCTTTAGGGTTTTTGCCTTTGAAATTAAACCTAGTTGCTCTGGTTCCGGGGAGGGGGGAGGGGGGCTGGGTCCCTATCATGGCTCTACACTTGACCACGAGGGACGCCCCCTAGACCGCCTGCTGGGTAGTGTTTATGTGCGACCACCAAGCTAACTTTTATTCTGTATCCGCCCCTGCACCGGGCCTATAGTGGTTGGTTTACTTTATTGAATATTCACAGAAAACAATTGGCAATAACCCCGATATCAAGTGAAAACGAATAAAGAAGATTTGCCGAATACATGAATATAATCATCTGTTAGTTTTATTTGTTTCTTAATTTTTTCGTGTTTGAAACTTCGACACACCATTTGCATGAGAGCAACATCGCTCGCTTTAAACGCGACCCAATCACAAATGATTTTTGCAACTTATTTCAGTTAACATGCCAGGGCGTTTTGAGAACAGATTGAATAAACGGCAACCCTTATCTCTACCTTGCGTTCTCTTTTTGTTGTTTAATCGGATCAAAAATATAGTAGGTCATACGAAAAGGCCACGAGGAGGGCGTTTTGGAATGCTTTCTGCCCTGACAGAGAACTATAGCAAGCAAGGTCATGAACACCTTACCAAGAGATAGAGTGTGATACGAAAGCAAAGGCTGAATTCTCTACCTACTTACCTCTTCCAAACAACTAATTCCAAGCCTGCATGCACCACGTGCAAATTGCACAAATCTCTGAATTTCTCCAACACAATTGAATGTGCCCAAAATGATGGAAATTTTCCTCTAATTCAAATCGTCTTTTATACGTGCTCAGTAGCTTGTGTAATCATCATGCTCAAGATATATATTGTTGTTCTGTTAACAAATGACGCAAAGACATTGGTAAGAAACAGGATAGATCGTGCTAAACTAGCTAGAAATCAAGTTTCATCAAGGTTGGAATGGGTATGTCAGGATGGACCAGTGACGTCAGATTTGTAGGTGCCAAAAGATTAAAGAAAGCCGTGACTCAATTAATCACTAATTTACCAGAGGGAGCTAATGAAAAGAAATCAAATATTATTGTTGAAGCCTCTTGATAACATACCATATAAAAATGTTATAAGCATATATAAAATACAACAATAGACAAATAAAATTATCAAAAAAATCCTTTGACAGAGAATCCCAAACGATAAAAATACTTCCTCTGATTTGCCGTCAACCTAGGCAGTTCACCCCCCAGAGAGTTGCCGATACACCCACTGATCATTGTTAACACCTGGTAACACTGGTGCCTCATTTCATCACCATCATCATCAACAAAACAAAACACTATCATCATTATGTACTGTTATCAAAATATAAAGATTTTATCTGTATATTATTTTATCTACAGCAAAGAAAACTCTGTTAACGATGCGAACAACATCAACAAGAAATGTTAAGCCGAAAACCCACACCGAAAATAGATCCGCGGATCGGATCAGATTTTGTGTTGCGCACGCGCTTTGGATGCAAAAATTGTCGTATGACTGATCCGCGACGGATCGAAACGGATCGAAAAAAAAGTTGAAATCATTTCACCTTTTTTGAACCGTTCCGGTACAGTAGTTTTCTTTTGATCGAAATCGAATTGAAACTTTTTTATTAATAGGCCATTAATACAATTTTTAGGTACCAAAAACAAATGCAGATCACCTCCTGTGAAGCAGACTAAGTTCTTTGTTGTAGTTGTTGCTTATAATAAATGTAATATAATATAATATTATATTATATTATATTATATTATATTATATTATATTATATTATATTATATTATATTATATTATATTATATTTTTATAATATATTATAATTATAATTATATTATATTATATTATATATATTATATTTATATTATATTATATTATATTTTATTATTTATAATATATTATATTATATTTTATTATATTATATTATATATATTATATTATTTATTATTATATAATTATATATATTATATTATATTTATATTATATTATATTATATTATATTTATTATATTATATTATATTATATATATTATATTATATTATATTATATTATATTATGTTATATTATATTATGTTATATTATATTATATTATATATAACTAATCCGGTAGTCTGTAAACGATCTAACTGATTTTTCCCAATAAAGGTACTAAGACTAGTCATATTCTAAAGATCAGTAGAGCGAGGGCAAACAATAAATTTCATTAACTAATAAGCTATAATTGTCACATTTTTGGTATCCATTTACAATACACTGAATAACTCGCCAATGTTTTCTTTTTCAAGATAAAAATCAAATTTTATTAATTCCATTGTTTGAAACTAAACCGAAAACAGCATGTAGTACGAAGCAGGCTGTAAAGAAACGCCAAAGAACAGATAAGATAGATGAATTTGAGATGAAGAACAAAAAAGAACGGCTGCCACCATGATATGAAACATCGTGCGTGCGTCGATAAAGCAAGTCTTGCTGAGCAGGTAGCCGAACAAATTAAGTTTTAAAGACTTGCTAACAATGAGTCATTACGCTGCACAGGAATCCCATAATGCTTTTTTATACAGTCTAAAAAATCTATGTTGGTCTAGGAAAATTATTGTTGGATGGATCTATGAAAACAGAAACCACAAGAAGATCCTCGTCGTTCAGAACAGAGTAAGGTTGTCTACTTTAATGAAACAACACTGAAGATTTGCAATGCAAGGAAGAAAGAGTTGTAGTAAAGGCCATCTGTTTGCAACGTCCCTGAATCAGTTTGGATAAGGAAGTTTGACTGCATGAAATGTGTCATCAACATAGCACACTTTCAAAATACCAACACAAGCCTTCTTAATGTTCATCGAGGTCAGATTCAAAATCATAGCTTAAATCCTGAATTGGTGATCCATAAAAATTTTACCACCATTGTTTGGATTGTCGCTTGGGCGATTTGCCACGCCCGCAAAGGCTCATCGTTAGTCTTTAACTCTCTTCAAGGGATACTGTTAGGAGGGTGAAGTGTACGAAATTTCCGACTGACAATAAGCCAATTTCCGACTGACGATAAGCCAATTATAATTTTGTACTACAATTATAATTGAAAGCTTTACCTAGGGAACTTTAACATTACACGGTTCTGTCGTTTCTCTTCTGAACTGAGAGAATTCTCGGTATATACGTTAAGTAATATTAATTCTGGCGTAAACAGGCATTGAAATTACGACAGCGAAATTCTAAACCACAAACAACATAACATTAGCTATCTATAAATACATTAAAAATACAATAAAATACAATAAAATACAATCCAATAAAAATACATTAACTATCTCTAAAGCCCCGTTCACACGGGAACGCAATCGTTCTGTACCGTTCTTCTCCGTTCCGAAAAGCGTAACGCTCAGGGGTTGTGTTCACACGGGAACACTTCAAATGACATCGTTACGTTCCAAAAAGTGGAACGATGAAATAAGTAATACGAAAAGTGGAACGGTACGCAATCGTTCCGTTCCGTTCTGTTCCCGTATGAACGCGCAGAATTGGTCTAAAAGATGAAACGATAAGAGTTTTGTCTTTGACGCAAGGGTTGTTGTTGTTGTTGGTGTTGTTGTGGGCGATGAACTGTGTTGTTGTTGTGGGAAGCAAGAGGTGACAATAATAAACACCGCGCTTAAAATGGAGGCTTTCAAAAACACCATTGGGTTTCTTGGAGTTTCACTTGCTTCACTCACGGTATTACTGAAGCTCAACATGGCGATTATTTCTTTTACAAAGCTTGCATATAGACGGAGAAGGAATCTACTTTAAACGTGATAAAAAAAAGACGTGGTGTTTTAACTGGTCAAACATTTCTTCTTGCTACAAAAGACAGGAGAGCATGTGGGAAAGATCTGGCCGAAGTGAGATTTGGTGAAACAACTTTCAAACACTTTTATGACATTAACTGAGGAGCGTAGACCTTTCCTTGAAATAACAGCTACAGTAATGAGAGAGCCTATTTCTGTAGAGACACAACTGGCAATAACACTCTACTATTTAGCTGATGAAGGCCGCTTCAGAAAAGTAGCAAATGCTTCTGGTGTGGGAAAGTCCACTTTCCCACGAGCTTGCTATATTTGGGGCGCTGTTGTATTCTCTATTTGGTGATTTTTTATTCAAATTGTTTAAAAACCCGCGAAATCAGCTCAGAGATGAGTCGAAATGATAAAATCTATCTCCATTATGGATACGCGCATTAAAAATCATTTTCTTACTTTGGTGCACACATTGCAGAACGGAACGATTGCCTTCCCGTCTGAACATAAGCAAAAATCGATACGCAATCGTTCCGTTACTGTGTGAACAGCATACTTTTCCGTTCCAGAAACTGGAACAAAAATGAAACGGAACGACTGCGTTCCCGTGTGAACGGGGCCTAACAGAGAGCATAAAATGAAATAAAACATAACATAGGATAAACCTATAAGCACACAATCTCTTAGAATCTATGGATACCACATCAACAAGATCCAGAAAATACAGCAGATTGATAAGAAATGAGAAAATAAGAAATAAACACGATTCAATTATTCAGAAACCTCTGCCATTATTCAAGAGAATGTGTCAAAACAATGTTAGCGACAAAGTATGGGCGAAATTGCTGGCTGAAATCATTATCTTAACGAGAAAGCTTTTGGTTTTTCAAGCATGGCTGGGTTCTAACCGAGGGGCAAATCACTCCAAAGAAAATCTCGTCCACTTTCTGTGAAAATCCTATTGTTTTATCTGAAAATCCCTGGAAATCCTTTTGTTTTAGGGAAAACCTCGTACGCTATTTGCAAGAGTGAATTGCTCCTCGGTTCTAACTGTAAAACTTGACCAGGCATTAAGATATGTAGCAGGCAAGTAGACACTGGGAGGCAGGGGGCAATGCCCTCCCAATAATTTGCGAAAATTTTATTTGATGATCTAATAAGCGCAGCTTGGTCTGAAAGCATTTCGTAAGGCAGGTATAGAAGCTATATCTCTATCCATGCCCCCTCCCCCCCCCCCATCCAGTTAAACTGTCTACGGGCCTGTGTAGTATATGGAAGATAACTGTGAGAATGGAGAATGATACCCTAAAGAAAAAACGTAGCCACATAATTTTCATATCATGAGTGTTAGGGCCTAATCAGGAAATTGAATTTCAAGCCACAATCAATGAATTCAGAGGCACAAGCGTAGATAAAGCACGCTGAAAGAAACAACAAAGAGTAAAACAAAGAGTGGAACTTGGCGATGGGAAAGGTTCCAACAACCAAACAGATTGGAGTACTTTGTTTTCCCAAGGAAATTCTACAAGGATTCTCCTTGTTAGTGTTTTTCTATACACAAAGTAAATCAGTCTACTGAAGCTTCATGGGGTTCACAGCAAATGCAATCGTTATAGTGAGCCAAATGTGATTATTCAGGATTTCTTGGCATAGTTTATAAGCTTCTTCATGTACGATATCGATTGCGATCTATAACCAGTCCCGAAATGATTCCTAGAAGAACAAAGGAAAATGCAGAGGCTAGTTGAAACTGGAAATTATATAATTTGGGACTCAAAATTATATAACTTAAATTGTTACGAAATCACATAAGCAAGGTTTATGAACTTCAGTCGCTTTTACAAAACTAAAATCCTTTCATTTTGTCGTTATGATATCTTACACAGGAACTTTCGTCTTATAAAGAATAAATAGGTTGGCCTTTATTAGAATTAGCTATTTTTCTAGCCAACTTCTAATAAATTGTATTACTATTGTATATGACGATACTGAAATGTGCAAACAACAAAAATGGCAGTCTCGAAAGAAAACAAATTTTTTGAGCCATTCAGCAAGACATTGTTTCTTTCTCACCAACAATACAGAAATTCAGAGCACTGAGTAAGTTTCATAACATCCTATACATTAAATGTTTTGTAACTGGTTGATCTACCAACGGAAACCCCTAGGTTATATAACTTGCTTAAACGTTATATTTAGATCTATTTCTATTGAACCACGTTTTATAAAGTTTATTGAAACAAAACCCATCGCAACTACAAAGTTTCAAAACCAAGTTCATTCATTATATTTTGCTCAGAAGATGAAATTCGCCTTGACGTCGTGATGAAAAAGCAGCACATGTGGAAAAAGACGCAGATATGGAGACTTAAAGATGCTATCGACAAATGGTGCTAACTCGCTACTCTGCCGTTTCTAGAGATCAATGTGATAAGAAATCAATAAGCCCTTCTCTGAAAGTTCTCTTTAATAAACACACAGAAAGGGTGCTAGCCCGTTACTTTGCCATTTCTAGAAATCAATGTGATAAGAAATTGATGAGCCCTTCTCACGAATACTCTAAAAACTTGAAATATTCAAAAAGCCGACCCCCTGTGTCTACACCTTTAGGGGGTTAAACAAAACCAGACCCCCGACAATTTTCCCATAGTGCTTCATTGATATATTTTATATGAACGCTACGTATCAAACCAGGAAATGAAAACTACATCCCAAACACAGGCCATACGCCATACACCTGTAAATAGATATGGAAGTCAAACAGGCACTGGCAGCTGTGCGAATGAATCCAATTGTGAAGGAGTGAAGGAGTAAAGGAGGAAAACCATAGGTGTTGAAAAAGCAGCTTCAGCTTGTTGAAAATTAACAGAACGATTGAAAATATCGCTAACTTATCATAAATAAGACATATCTAATCGTTTATCCTCGTATACATTAGCTGCAACTGCTAGCTTGTTATGTTAAGAGGTAAAACAGATTGTGAAGAGACCAAGTTAATGTAGAAAAGTGAAACAAAATCCTGTTGAAATGATGAACCCATGCTTGGTAGAAGGCACAAATCGGTTTATATTCAGATTGTATTCAGTTTGAAATGACACAAATAAAACTTAACCCAACAATGAACCAAAATAGAGATTCTTAAGCTTCTTTAGAAAAAATAGATGAAAACAGAATGTTGTAAAAACAGTGAAGAAAAGTGTGATAATAACATTTAAGAAACGAAGTAAATTTCAAGATAAGCCCTCAAGACATCAAAAATAAAATAACAAAGCGAAATCTTATAGATCTGGGATCCATTGACGAATTTGGCTCCATTGTCGATACTTCTTAATTAAGATTTTATGCAAAAAATGATAGACATTGTCAATGTTGAATGAAAAAACAATACATTGTCTGCCAGCAGGTCTTCTGAAAGTTAAGAGATCTGGAAGGACGGGGGCAAAATTTCTCGAAAGATGAATGCGTAATGCTAAAAACAATGTGCGAAAATCTAGTGCACTACACCAAGTCATTAGGCAAGGATTAAAGCTCTTGTGTATTTTGGACTATAGTGCGACTATAATATGCTTTCAGGTGAACTAACCTAAAACAATTCTGCAATAAATTCAAGATATGAAGTTTGAATGCACTCGAATGTTTATGTACAAGAGTCATGAAAATATGACGATACAATGACTGATTATAAACTGCTTGACTCAGTGGAAGGAATTTCCTTCCTTCCCTTTCTAAAACATTTCAAATCGCCTTGGAAAATAATACACGCAGTAATGAGGTGGAATGTTCTGCCAAGTTCGCATGTGGGACTATTTTTTTTGTTCACAATGACTGAATTCTAAGTATCATCTAAGACCAAGATGAGAGCCTATAACATTTTCAAAAATTTGTGATTCTCAGCCTAAAATTATTCTTATATAATTCCTGATCTTTGCAGACATTTTAGGAAACTAACATACTAGCAAAGTTCCTCGCGGTCCCTTGAACATTTTAAGAAAATTCGCGCTTGTCTTGTCTGCTCAAAAACTGTCGAGTTGTCAATAAAATTCAAGCCTGGCTATTACTCTTAGCTATTCCGTAAAATTCACAAATATTGAGCCTCAATACTGTGTGTTTACGTTGATTCGTCGCGTATATATCATTGGTTCATTCACGGTTCGTGATTCATCACGTGGTTATAATTTAGAACGGCTTTTTTAAATCTCTCTCATAGCTTTTCATAGTCTAACGTTACAATTTTTAAAGCTATAAAAACGAGGCATTAAACTGGACTAAAAAGCATAAATTTATTGGTCCTATTATTGCAAACATCTTTAATTTCATGTAGACACATAAGAAAAACATCCTTAATACGATTGGTAGGTGTGACACCTCAATTTTTTATTGAATAAGATGACGCTACTTACCAGTGGTTCAGGTAATGGAATAAAGTGTATAATATATGTCTTTCCTCGAAGCCTTTTGCAACTGGGATGAGATTATGGTAGGCCTTGTAAAATTGAGAATTGAATCCTCCAAACATTCCAGCAATGGCAAGATCATATTCGTCATGACCATAAAATGACGCTGCATCGTATATTACTGGAAAGAAAACAGCAGTCTTTACACACGACTAAATATGCAGCTATCACTTTTACAGAGAAAGTTAGCTCTTCATTTTGAATATTTATGGAAATCAATAATATACCAGAGCAAGGTGCAAGAGCTATTAGTGGGCCTTCAGGTGAAGAGGTGTTGTGCTAAGCGTAGAAAAAAGACACCTAAAAAGACAATACTATGTAAGCAAGAATTGATATGATACAACATTTGACGTGAGGTGTATGAGTAGATTACAATACAAGAATCCTTGAAGCGCTGGAAATAAACTTATTTCAAACCAATCTATTTAATTATCTTAGTGTGTCGAGACCAAGATAGAGATCTTGAGAGAAGATACAGCATCTGGGATCACTTGGTAAATAGAAGCTGAAGAGTACAACAAGGATCAGTCTTGGGGTCACTGCTATTTAGTTAACGCTAACAGGTCCATAAATTGTATACGGGTGGAAGGAGAGTTCAAATTAAATGACGTCATTATATCAACATTCAGAATACGACGATTCATTAAAATGATTCATTAACGCGTAGTCAATAGATTTTTCTATGGACTATGAAGTTAGTGATTATAAATACCAGGCCCCTCGCGAGTTTCAGCAGCATTGCCACTCCATAGATCACCATGTAGCAGCGATGGTTGAGGATCGATTCCCTTGAAGAACTTGTCAATATTTAGTTGTAAATCTGACCATAAGGCTTGCAACTCCCTATCTTGATACTACGAGGCAAAAAGCTTGGGGTAAATGAATTGGAGCAATTCAAATTATCTAGAATGACCCATACTTTATGAAGAGGATACTTTGCAGGCATTTCCTACAATCAAGGCAGTTCAGGTATACTGTTTAAATCAGTAATAAATTTTTATAAACATAGATTAAATTTTCACTCTTCCATTTTGAGTTTCTGATGATAACTGTAAGAGCATTAAGTTCGTTTATTTGTTTAACACACAACATTTTCACAACTTCCTATCTCAGCTACAAGAACCTCACTAGTAAGTATTCCTAACTTACATTATCAAATTGGCACGAAAAAGTTTTTTCAATTGATTCAATCCTACACAAAAGAAAAATATATTATTTAATTGCTTTACAAGCCTCTAACAACAGAAATGCCTAACACAAGGCCCGGATCATCTGTTACTGAAGATTTCTTGTCGGCTCTAATTTTGGTTTTGATTAGAGAATTGAGAATTGGTTTTGATTAGAGAATTGAATGCAGTTTTCACTTATTTGTCACAAGACATAATAGTAATAAGCAATGTGCTGTCTTTTGCAATACCTTTTTTGCTACATTTAATACTTGAAAATGTAGTCTTCCTACATACAAACAATAGTCTAAATATTCACTTTGTCAAATATGCTCTTCCCAACAAATCATCGTATAAAAGAAAACTGATATTGGATTATCAGTAAGAAAAGTAAAACACGTTTTTAGCTGTAGCAAATAGAGAAACTTACAAACTCACTTCCTTTAGAAGTAGATCAATCTGTTGCTGCAATTTCTGCCGGGTGTAAAATTCCTGTTGAAAAATGTACCTTCGAGTTAGCCAATTGAAAAAGGGATTTTTAATCATGTGTAACATACGCCGCTGTTAACTAGAAATCAAGAGTACTTTGCAATAGCGTTTTTGCAGTTTTCTAGAAAAATCGTGTTGCTTCAAATAGAAATTTAATCTAAACACGATAACAAAAAAGCTTATGAAATAGAACATCAGTAGCAAATGTGACTGTTATATTTTTATTATCCGGGAAATTTCTGAGGCTTCATCTTAGATCCATAACAGGTCATCGACCATTGGGTGCTACTCTTTGGAGGTGTCCTTGATAGGTGACAAAAAAGGTCTGGATGACGAAGTGGCCTAGCTGTAACATTTGAAGTGTAGATAACTAGCAAGCATCTTAATGATCAAATGTCATAAAGATTTCTTACATAAAATTTCCCACTTGATGAAAATAACTTCATGGAAAGGAAAATAAAGATGTCAATGCACTGGTGGCCTGTGTGAGTTACCCTTCTTGGTTGATTAACAAAATATTAGGTGCATTTATCACGCAGCACTGATGAGATAGAAAGGTGGACATCAATATTGGCAGTTAAATTACATACTAGTACATTTGCATTTTGATAAGTATGGTAGGTAGGTAGGTAGGTAGGTAGGTAGGTAGGTAGGTAGGTAGGTAGGTAGGTAGGTAGGTAGGTAGGTAGGTAGGTAGGTAGGTAGGTAGGTAGGTAGGTAGGTAGGTAGGTAGGTAGGTATGTGATAGGCAATATGTAAGTGACCGCTTACAATCCAGTCTTTATTCCATGTATTATCTTGTGGAATCATCCCACAGCTCGTATTCACATGAAAACCAAACTGCTCGACAACTTCACACTTCTCAGCTTTGCCTACCTGTGTTTCAGATTTCTTTGCTTTGTCCAGAAGCTGCCGGTTGTGGAGATGAAGTCTGTAAATATTTTCATCCGTTTAAAAAACTGTCACTCGTCCATAGACTTTGCAAGTCTGTTAATAGCTTTCTCGAGCCTGAAGCTTTATCACTAAGACAACTACGTGTTGGAATAACCAAACTAAGCCAATATTAAGTCAATCATAACTCCAGGTATAGCGTAAATTCTCTAAGTCTGATTAATGATTGTATAGAAGATACAGAGCACTTTTGCTGCAATGCAGTAGCTTTGATAAGAGGAGGCACAATCTTCTAATCATTTACAAGTTCTTATATGCTCATAAACGGTTGCCAGACAATCCAAATATCAAAATCCTACAAACGAAGCTAAATGCATTTATGACCAAAGACAATTTTTGCAAGATAGCAGAATATCATGGACTCCTCCCGTGTCATTGAATGTAAACTTTTGTATGTATAATCATTCAATGTATTTTTTTTAGAACATTGTAATAATTTTGCATTTTTTAAAATAATTTGAACTAAGATCTACTTATGGAAACTTCAATGTTTTAAGCAACAATATAATATATGCAACCAGCTTTAACAGTTTCTTTGATGCTTCAATCTTTATCCAACATTAAATGCAGTTGCACACACAATAGAGCTAGGTTGTGCAAAGGCCAATTGAAAATGATAAAAATCATTAATCTGTTGTCAGTGAGGCTAAGTTACAGACGGAAGTCCAAATTTTAAGTTTGTTTGTTTTCACGATTCAGACATGTTTACTTAAAAACACTAGTTCCATGATGAGAAAAAAGGCCACTTTTGAATCATCCAAATAAAAGAAAATTGCAAGCATACTAAACATGCAAATAGCTTATAAATCTTTGTTTTTTAGGCAATTAAGATCAATTAAAGATTTAGCCGATGCTTTGTTTTAAGATTAAATAAATGCTTGCAGTTCACTGGAAACTTGCCCTTAGTTGTTTTACATGTGAGAATAAAAATACAACTAGTCATATTCAAGAGATAATTGTTAAAGTATCAACTGGTAGTAAATATATTTGAGTATGATCAGTGGTACCATAGTTTCACAAACAAACAAAAAAGACAAAATTGTAGATTTTTAGAGTAACAAAAGCCCTTTGAATGATCAAAATTTCCCTTGATGTAACAAGAATAATAAAGAGTAAAATTCGTCTATATGATTTTGCAAGGAGCAAAACAATAGACAACCAAAAATGTTTTGAAAGTACTGAACAAAGTTATTCAGCCTTACAGAGCATATTTGATAGTTTTGGATTGAAATGGTGTTTAACAGACAAACCTGGCCAAGTCTTCACCTAACTTTGACTGAAATTTCGACAAAGACCCCATGTTGATAAATTCCATCACAAAAACGTACTCATGTGTATTTTCATTTTCCAGAATCTAAAAAGGAAACAATTCGCAATTAAAACAGTTGTTATATCAGACAAGCTTTATAAACAGTGGCTTACTAACATTTAAGTAATAATGGCTTTTAAAAAAGCAAACTTGTGGATTGAAATAAGATAATCGGAAAAATGCGGGTACAGTAAATTATAACTGAGATTGGAGGAAAAACCACTTTGATTATAATAGCATACACCATGACCATTATAAAAAAATCAGATCAAGGAAGCATCTTTGATAAAAATCTATAACCAAAAATTTGTTGGAGACTTTGATGATGAAGCAAAGGGTCTGAAATACCCAAAAGTAGACACCTTTCCACAAAGACATCAAAATATTGGCACATTAGTTAAGCCTTAAACTTCACAGGCAATTGGGGTATCATTCAGAATTTAATTTTCCAATTTTGATACAATACTTGAGCGTCTTAATAGAATATCATTTATCAATTCTGCAAGCAAACTAAAATGACTACAGGTATCTGATCAAACAAGAATGAAAAAATTTATAATGTCTCAGCTTAAGTCACCCATGAAAAGATTAATTTCCAGCTGATTACTAGCTTAGTCAAAGGAATATTCATGGTGTCCACTTTTTGCAAAAGCCAAATTGACTTAATCAGTGGTTAAGGCAAAGCTATGGTCACTCATTATGTTCCCAATTCTGAAAATATACAACTGGGTATACATATTTTTTAACGTTGAGTTTTCAACCTATGTTGTAATGTTTGATACTCTGAAGATTGTCAGACGAAAAGCTTCCATGTATTTCAAAATGTTTGCTTTTTTCAAAACAAATTTTAAATTCTGTACAATAACAAAATACTAAATTTCCTGGACTAAAACAAAATTACAAATAAATTTGGGTCATAAATCTGATTTTACCTTGATAGGCTTTGGGACGGTGACAGTATTGGTCTCTTTAATTGCTTTCAGGCTCTCATACTCCCCAGTGAACATCACCTTTCCCTAAGAAAGAAATAAATGAAACATTGTTCTGAGATGCAAGCTATAAATGTACTTTACTGAAGATTGCATTATTCATTTTCTAAATTTTATTTTATATGGGTTAGATTTACAAATACAAAAAAGGAGAATCAAGGCACACTTGAAGTGGCATAGTAGAAACTGAGAAGCAAATATGGAGTTGGGAAGAAAAAAATGTGTTGAAATTCTTGATTAGTATTGCATTTGAAGAGAGAAAAACCTAAAACAAACTAGGAAACCTTAAAAATTGGCAGAAAGGAATATCAATTTTTGTTTATAGCTTTAGCTTTAAATAGATCACATAGGGAATCTAGCACCTTGTCAATAATGGTCTATTGTCTGTAGATTCAAAAAGTATTTTTTATACAAACCATATGCTCAAAGGCAGTACAGTAAAAACCTGCATGTAACATTCTACTTTTTCCAGAGTTTGGCAAAACTAGTTCTTGTATCATGTGGTACTAATTGACAGTTTAGAGTGAATAGGTTCTTGGTTAGGTTCTTAAATTTTACAGAGTAGATATTGTTGTTGATTAGCAGAAAATAGTATTAAATCTGATCTTTCTTCAGTCTAAATATTTATTAGTGTACCAATGTTGCCAAAAGTCTATCAACAATACCTGATCAATGATACAGTAATGTATGTAAAATAGTAGCAATATTTGTCTAAATCAGATATTTGTTAGAAACAAGACAGTGTTGGGTATACAGTGAAATCTCATTCCATACAAAACAATTACAATACTTTAAGCTACAAACAACAATAAGCTACAATGATCAGTATTGAGAAATTAATTAATAATTAGTACAATATTGTAATAATGGGCAAGGTAGTTTATTCACATGTGGTAGTGGAGTGATAATCTTTGCTATAAGTAACCTGCAACCATAAATCCGCTCAAATATCAAACAATTCAATGCCTCCACTCTGAAGCTTTCAAAAATCAATTCTTCGTAAGAACAGTTCGGATTTGGAATAGCCTACCATCAGAAATTATGAATTGCGTGAGAGAAGACAAATTCAAAGTATCAGTAACAGAATGGTTGTGTCCACGTCAGTGGGTGAAGGTGGCCTCTACCAACACCTGGACCCTAGTATAGACTTATCAGAGACAATTTTTACTCTTTTGTTAGCCTTTTGTTATCCCTTGTTTATGATTAACACCGCTTCCACTCTGGCAATAGCCAACCTGCTTTCCTACACACTTTGCTTGGATTTGTTGAACCAAAACCAAATGCAACATTTTGTAGAAATCAACAAACTGGAGCGTTGGGTGGAAATGGTATTAATCCTACTCCTGAGTTAATTTTTTTTTTCTTAATGCTCCTTGAGTAAATACTTCAGATTGGTTGTAAAGCCTTTAGGAGTTAACGATTGAAGATTTTAGCTACATGTCACTTTAAAATTGTCTTGATTTTTTAGAACAAAGATTCATTTTGCAATAAAAGTGAAATAAAACATGGAACTGTATATTGTCCTGAATTTCTAATACACAGGTATACTTTCATTTGACAAATGGAATGGGTTGGGTACAATTGTTTTCAATTTCTCTTAAAGGGTCTGCATTGGTGCGTTGTATATATGAATAAAGAACAGTTTTTTTTGCTAACTTGCAGGAAATGTTTCCATAAGGAAAGAATAGTAGTGTTTTGCATTGTAGAAAGATTTTGTAAAAAATCTTTTGGTTATACGATGTAAAATATTACTTCTTGCCCCGTGCCTCGTCCCCTTGACGATCAAATAATAATAGTAACCCCAGTTGTCCCTGTGCGTGCAATAGAAACTACAGTTCTTGCAAGCCCCGAGATTTTAACGAAAAAATTAAGGCTTGGCAAACATGAATTCCTTATATGCTCTTGATCTTGTTAAAAATTTATATAATTTTCAATGGAAAAAGGACTTATTTGTTGTCATTGGACAGGCGGCCCCCAGGCCCAAAAAACTGTTGTTTGTGACTAACTTGAAACTTTAAAACATACCTTTTCTAGTTCATATGTCTTAACAAAAATATCGCCAATATCAGTTGAAAAATGCCTCGAACTACTAATGCACCCGCCACCTCTTGAGCCTAAATCCTTGACAAAATTTAAGCTCAAGTTTTCCTGGAGAAAAGCCTTCAACTCCGCCATGTTGTTTCATCAAGACGAGGCCAAGAAGGGGCGGCAACCATCGACCTATGGCGGTAACGCCGGGAATGGGGAATGTGGGTGTAAGGATAGGGAAAGAGATGTTTATGAACCTGTCAAAAGATGCTTATGAACCTGGCCTGGTTTTGTTCCCCTTTTCAAAAATAGTACGAAAGCAAAAACTTTAGAATGTTGAGTAGATAAATGTTTTGCGTGTTACGTTTTGATTGCGCCTTGAAATCTTTACAATCCTGGTAAAGGAAGTGTCTAATTACAATAAAAGCTTTTATGGGTGATGTATTCTGCTTTGCCGCGCGCCTTGTCAAAAAGTAAACGCAAGTACAACAGAAAAAAGAGAATAATTTTAATGTTCCCATGAGCCGTTAAGCACCAAAACTGAAAGAAAATCTTCTATTTGTATAATTTTTCTTAGAAAGCTACAAACAACTACGAAAGGCACAAAATCAAAGCAACAAATAATGGGAAGGCTGTATAACCCTCTAGAAACTAAACTTTCACTGAACTTTGGAATAAAACCTGATGTTAATGAATCATGATAGCTGCAAAACAGCCGACCAACCAAAATATTTGCAAAGAAGTACAAAATGAATCGGAACTACTCATCGGCCCCTCATCCACAGAAATTTAGTATACCGTATTCTCTCTAATGAGCGCCCTCTCTCAAATGAGCGCCACTCTCTTGAGCAAAAATTTGAATGGCCACCCCTCTACAATAAACGCCCCCCCCCCCCCTTTATTATGAAAACAGATGGAGACCATCAAATCACTGTATCACTGTAAATTACTGTATAAGAAAATTTCAGTTGTTTCAATTGAGAAAGTTCTCTTCAAATGCTGACAAAAAACTCATTAGATGGTATCGAATATGATTTTCAAGATGCCACACCAGAATTTATACAGATCGACGAGGGTTCCGACTCGGATAGAATTTACATCTTGTAAATGTCTTGCCTGCAACCACTGTGATGCAAATATATTATTAATTTTTGTACAAAAATTATCATTTGAACTTCAAAGCTAAGTTTTTTGTGGATTTCTATCTATTTCCAATGAGCGCCCCTCTCTAGTGAGCGCTCCTCTCCAATGAGTGCTCCTCTCTAGTGAGCGCTCCTCTCCAATGAGTGCTCCTCTCTAATGAGCGCTCCTCTCTAATGAGCGCCCCCTCTGAGGCCAAAAATTGAATGAGCTCCCCCTGTTCTCATTAGAGAGAATACATTATTTGAAGTTTTATACAATGGGTACACCACATTGAAAATGTATAACAAAACAATTTTCAAATTCTTATTTTTCACCAATAAGATATATCATATCTAAGAGAAGTTATTATATCAAGATTAAACTAAATTATTGGGGCATTTACTTCGTTCAAATGTGGAAGAATTTAAGAAATTATTATTAGTTTTTACAAGTTTAGTTTTGTTGCATAAGAAGGCTATTGAAATATTATGCCTTTTTAGTGTAAAATGCTAAAAGATGCTTGAATTTTGTCATGTAAATGTGAAAGCGAAAAAGTTTTTATTCCCGTACAGAAATGTTCACAACTGTATGCGCCCTTGGGGTAAATGGATAATCTATGGTACTCTGCAAAATTGGCACTAGTGCCCCTGAATTTGTTTTAAAAGCCCCTACTGATATATTCGTGCTGCCTGCAAGTTTTGTAGCATAAAATGTGATTTTCTTCAATCATAAATTCAATTAAGACTATTGGATTATTCCCTAAGATGACCTTTGCACGATTTATAAGAGCTTTTTCGGAACTTTTTATCGCTGGGTCAATTTTAAAGGGGGTTACCATCAAAAACTGTATGGGGTTCATATCTAATTACAAGGTGCAGTGATAAGCAATTTGTGCAGTGGTAAAACAGTTTTGTGCAGTGATAAACAGCGTAAGTGTGAAGTGATAAAACGATTTCGCTGCACAATTTATGAGAAATTCATTACTTTATGAGTTCTTTACATTAATAAGTTACTTTTCATTTCTTTATGAATTCATTACATTCAAAACGTAAACGAAGGGCGTGGTCTGCAAAAATTCTCAAGGGTCCCGTCCGAAACCTCCTATTTTCAAAAAAATGTGCAAAGAAATTTAACTTTAAAATTAGGTATGAGGTTAGGCAAAAAATCCTGGCTTATTGCAAGGGATAGATGAGTTGTTTCTTACATACTGCATTTTTCTTACGCAGTTGCAATAGTTTAGCTCTTTCATCGCAATATTTTGATAATATTCTGCGTTTTGACAATAGTTTTATTAGTGATAATAGTTTTTTGAAAGAGTCCTACAGTGGCTTAGATATTTTGGTTTTGGGGTAAGAGTAGAATTTTGCTCGTCAGCGGTGGGGGATGTGGTAGGGCCCGGCGGGGCAACCCATAAAATGAAAATAGAGAGGTAGGACAATGAATTACCTAAGAAAAGGGGGAATTACTTTTTTGATGATTGAATCTCATAGCGAGGGTTCTCGTCTAAATGGAAAAATATGATAAGTCTCGTCAAGAATAAGTCTCGTCAAGATTTTGGGGGCTCACCATCATGGGCGTAGCAGATATTTAACGTTTAGGGGGGCTTAGTATGGATCTTTGCCGATTATTATTGCTTCACTAAGATAGAACTACCCGAATGGAGCCTGAAATGCGATAAAATTTTGGAATACAGTGTTTCTGGAAATTATAGAAATCTGAATGCAGATGTTCTCTGATGCTGAGATTTTTTTATCAAAGTCTGTATTCATTTTTCGCATCACTTTGTCACAGAGAGAAAATTGTGATGAATTTGATTGAAAAAACAGTATTATATTTTTCATCTCAGCGGTTACCTTTCGTGTGATTTTCTTTTCAAAAGTTGTTGAAAAAATATTGCTTACTCCAGGCCAAAAGCAATGTATTTACTTACGTCATTCGTCACCTGAGACAACTAACGCGAGGCTTGTTCTTACCTGCCTCGTATCGCCTTCCGTGAAACCAAAAGTCCATTGCTTTTTACTATGTAATAATTGTTGAGTTATCCAATCAGAAAATGTCTTGAGCGCCTTAGGATAATAGCTATTGTATCCTTAGCCAATCATTAGTACAAGAGTAGACGTGAGAAAGCGAGTAAGTGTGTTTGCGGGAAAGAATGGATTCGATAAAAGAATAGGAGAACAATCGAGAAATAAAACCGTTGTCAATTTCTACGCGCCTATTGGCACTAAAAGGTGATCAACATTACCAGAAGCAGAGGATTCAGGAAACGTTAAAGATATAAATATTCGCCAGAAGTATTTTCTTAAAGAGAAACTTTGAAGATGGATCAAGTTCGAACTGTTGTGGATAGCAATATGGCTTTCAGATATTCTAAGAGTCTAAATAAAGGAACCCGGCGTTACATGGAAGATATCGCTCAAACTTGTCGATCAAATGACCCGGTCAAAGGAACTTTCTTCGCAATTTTTGATGGCCATGGAGGCAAAAATGCAGCTAGGTTTGCCGAGAGGCGTTTGTGGAGAACTCTATCGAGTATGGATGCTTTTGAGAGTGATGACCCAGAAAAAGTTAAAGGAGCGATCAAAGAGGCTTTTCTCAAAACACATTCAGAAATGTGGGATGTTATTGGTAAGAAACACTTTGTTTATACCCATACAAGCTATTTTTAGTTGCACAGGCAGTTATTATATGTGGCTAGGCCATGCCAAACCCTGAATCTCCTACTGATGAATAATTTAAAAGATTAAATTAACGCGGGCACGTCATGGCAGGCCTAAAAAGCCTACGTTGATCGAGAGCCAGGACATCCCCTTTCCATGGAAACAGATCGCATATTTCACCATAAACCGCCAAAATATTCCAATATCGTTTGTTTTAACGGTTTAATAATTGTGTAATATTGCCACTTCTTCTATGAGATGAAAACTGCTGTGAATTAAAGCTGAAACAATATCAGCGTGAGTATTATATGGATACAAAAACCATTTCCTAATAATACCCGACACGCCAAAGCACGCCGTTTAAATGTCTGACGTGTCAGTAATTGCCACTAGTAAAACCAAATATTGTCGAAAGAATAATATGCAACCAGTCTTTAGCACTTTCCATGTGCAGGGTGTTGAGAAAGAGTTTCGAAGAAGAGTCTCACTGATACCTATACACAGGGGAACACAGATGGGGGGGGGCAGGAGTGACCCCCAGTATTTTGTAGCCACTTTTTGGTCCTTTGTGTTCGTCTTGTCCCAACAAACCCCCAATCATAAAAGTTCCTGGTCCAACAACATTATCATTTTCGTGTACCCTTGAGTACTATCTTTCCCAGTCAATGCCCCCTGTTTATTATTGTTTCCTGAATCCTGTTTATCATTGTTTATTGTTGAAGTATCGAACATTTGAAAGAAAATTGGATATTTTTTGATATAGTATATAATATATTGTATGGGCTGCTTTCTCAGTAGGGCTATCTATGGTAGGGGATGTTTAGAAAATGGTGTGCTTTCATAGCTGGATAACTGGAAAAACCACCTCTCCAATTGGCCTAGCGTTTTTGTTTGTAACAGGTAGATTATGAAACTTGAATTTAACGTTTCATTGCACCCTATCTCTAGTCACAGCTGCTGGAACAAAACACCTACCCCTCTGGCCATTTGCCACAAAAGAGAAAAGCTGGCGTGCGCCGTCCTTTGTCAATCAAAAGCCGCCGAAAATACTTTCATATATAACGTACATATATGTTCATATTGAAGAAACAAAGATTGCTGCTATATTTAAGATTAATCTTATTAAAGAAGAATTTCTTTTGGGCCAAAAGGCATCTTTACGTCAATAAGTGATACCCTCTCCCCCAAGGTCTTGTTCCCACTGAATCAAATCTTGCCACGATAGTAAGCTTGCATTCAATCGGCTTTCTCTCAATATTTGTTTTGCCACAGCTGTGCTGTTGAATAGCGGTTGAAACAGCCTTTAAAAACAAGCATTTTTAAGACAAAAGCCTTTTGTATAATTTTCTATCTTGTTCAAATGATTTTGAACTGTTCTTTAAAGCCTCATTTACGCGATTGAGAATTCTAAACATGAAAACCACATCCCTGAGAAAATGCAACGCGTGTGTTACTTTGAAAGGTCAAATAAGCTTTCTTGCATCTATACTTTATTAAACGATATCTCATTTTGACGATGCAGCTGTCGGGATATCGACTAAGTCGCTGCTAATTCTTATCTTTCACTCATTGGTCGGTTAGATTTAATCCACACGAAGTTTGGAAAAAGCATTACCACACCCACATCCTTACAACGCCTAACTTTCATGGCCTTTTTTAGAAAATTATCAAAGTCTAAATTGTTGACTAGAGAGGAAATGAACAAATAATACAAGTCAAGTATTGAAAAAAGTGAGAGAAAGCACAATGAAATACTATCTTGATGATTTCAGTTACTTTTTCTGTTGTAGAAAACTGGCCTAAGCGAAAAAATGGAATGCAGAGCACATCCGGAACGACGGCTACCGTTGCTATACTGCGAGGGAGGAAATTGTACGTTGCGCAGCTTGGTGATTCTGGTCTGGTTTTAGCTAAACGCAGGAAGAATAGCACCACTGTGGAGGCACATTATATAACTGCGGAGCATAAACCTGACGCACCGGAGGAAAAATCAAGGTAGCATATTGCATACAAATATTCTAAGAAACTATTGAAATTTTTCTTCTTGGTTCAAAAATTTGGATAGGGGAATAGGTGGCCCTCAAACAGTACGATTCAATGTAAAATTTGCAGCAACCCTTTAAAGTTTCATGTGACTTGCAAAGAAAAATCTGTTTGTCCCTTAAATATCCTTTACAACGATATTATCGATTGGTAAATCTTAATGACGATAAACGTACATCTTAAATTTTTATTCAAAGTGTCGTTATAATTCGATTAAGCCCCCTCTTTACCATTAAATTTCTCAGAAGCCCCTACAATGCTGTCAGTTTTTGCATAAAAACATCAAATTAATAACAGCTTCTTTGCGATTTATATGCATCAGAGCTTCTGTGTTCTAATTACCACGAGTATATATATACATAGGTTGTGCTACATTAAGTGGTTGGTTTATGCTAAATTTGTTTCGTATTAAATTAAGCCATGATTTGTCTCGATCAACAGAATCAATTCATTAGGAGGGTGCGTTGCAACTGTTAAGGGTGTGGCGCGAGTAGTCTGGAAGCGGCCGATACTAAGCGGCAGAACAAACGGAACACCTCGGCGTGGAGCGCAGTTCGAGCATATTCCATTCCTGGCTGTCTCTCGTGCTCTTGGTAAGATCAATACGATATGTCTTATCTAGCATGATCTCCTTAGCTTTTTACAAGTAACTTTTTATAATTTATTCAGTTTGTGTTATTCTGATATATTGATCTTTCATTTTTTGCCTATCCTTATGTGCCCATTAGTAATAGTTTTAGGTAACATTCCATGTTTCTCTCTGTTTCTTATGCCTCTGTGTTACTTAGAATCTTCGAAGGGTGTTTTTGAATTTAGGCAATCTTCGTTTGGATGCCCAGTGATGACGGCAAATAGGCCACAATAATTGTAGTTCTTTATTATAATAATGATCTTGAAATTGAGGTCGAAATTGCTGTTTTCTTTTCTGAATAAGAAAAGCCAGGTTTACAAGTCCCCAACTACTTTGCTTTGATTCCTTTGTAAATTATTTTTTCTATACTTGGCTGTTATTTTCAAACATTACTGGCAATTTTCAGGTGATCTGTGGAGCTATGATCAAGAAAGGGGCGAATACCTCGTATCTCCCGAACCAGACGTTGAATGTTTCGATATCAAAAAGGGTGAAGACTGGTTCATGATTCTAGCTTCAGATGGTCTCTGGGGAATTGTCGATGCGCAAGAGGCTGTTGATATTGTTGCTGATCACGAAAATAATGATCAAGAGAACACGGACGCTGCCTCGAAGTGAGTGAAGATTTAGACCTCGTTTTCACGAGTGTATTCCGTTTGAGTAAATTTCAATTCGGCATCATTTTTTGGCGACATTCACCTGGAGTTGTAGCAAAACACTATTACTGCAAAGCGTAATACGAAAAAAAACCGGGGAAGGCTTCTGTTCATATGACTTGGGTAAGGGTATACCAGAGCGTAAGGGGGTGCAGCCAGGGGTGGTGAGTTGGGAGGCTCAGGGTTGCTCGAGGGACGCAAAACCTCTTTTGTAAATGTCAGAAAGTAGCCCTTTTCTTCTTTTTACTATTTTTTTAAAGAAAATTTTCGCGAGGGCGCCCTTGTTCATTTCATAGCAACACATCTGAATGCATGTAACCCTGAAGTTGAAAAAAGTCTGGCCTTTTACCTTTAAGAATTATGTGTTTTAAAGAATGGTTATTTGAAGATGCAAATTAGAAGGAACTCCAATGAAATGTCAAAAATACGTCTCTTCTTGTCACCCATGCTAAACTCAATTTTCTTTTTCTTTTAATAGTTTAATTCATATGGCTTTGCAAAAGTGGTCTGGAAAAAAGGTTAAATCTGACAATATCAGCACTATTACAGTATTTTTTGATGAAGAGCCCAGACCCGGCGAAACTCCATCGGAAGAGGACGACGACAGCTCGGGTTTTACGACTGTCCTTGAAGAAGATGGCGAAGAAACACCACCCGAGGTACCTGTAAAGTCAGGTCTTCCGCAGCTTAAAAGGACAACCGAAATACGAGTTGAGCTGGACGATTTCGGCAAATTTTGTTCCCAAGAATCGACGGCGTATATCGAAACTGTTATTTTTCATACTTCGTCTAGGGGAAGTACCGAGCTGATGGCTTCCGATTCTTGCAACATTTCGAACATAAAAAGAAAGCTACCGTCAAGTTTGACCGGTCCAGTCACGACCGCCAAGCGCAGCCGAAGAACATCGGAATGTGGAAGTCCGGAAAGTCGAAACTTGTTAACTGAAGTTAGTTCTAAGTCTTTACAGTCGTTACAACTCGATGCCGACCTTACTGGCATTTCGCAAGTAGCCCGCGATTTTTTGTAGCTAGTTTTCGTAGCTAATTGTTTAAATTATTCGAAATCGTCGCCAGCTTAAACAAAGGTTGCCCCCTACCCACCCAAAAGGTGACATCTTTTGCATTTCAAAGCTGCATTTTTGATTGCATCTGACAACCCTTTGCGTTCAAAAAGTCTTATCTGTCGGTTAAACAGTTCTGTTATCAAAGGTAGCGTGAATGTTTGATGAAAAAACATTGGTTTTGAGTTGTCAATCAAAACATAATGCAAAATATATTTCGAATAACAATTTAGCATCTAAGGCCATTGCATCTTTTTTACTCAACATCTGTAAAATCGTTTCACAATTGCTGGTACATTTTCACAAGGGCTGTATTTTTATCACACGCTCAAGAAATTCCTTTGATGCAAAAATTAGCTGAAGGCGTGTCACTAAAACAGTTAAAACGGGGAATGATTGTTTAGCACTAGTTTTATGCGGTAATTTGTATTTTTAAATTAAATTGTTTATGATTTGTTTGTTCTCGCACTTATAGTTATTTGTGTCTGTTGAAAATTCCAAACACAGATGACTCCCAATGTGTCTATTACACAGGGGTTTGCGCAGAACACATCATGGGCAGTTTACGTTTTTAGGGATTTTAAATTAATATAGCGCAGCATAGATGCATGTAATATAACTTGATAGTTCATCGACATCGTTTGCTTCTTTTGAAGTATTTCAACATTAATTCGCATTTCGATGTAATTTTGCATCTTTATCGTACAGTTGTTTTAATTTTAAGCAGACCTAGTCGGGAACCAAACCTCGTAGATACTGCATCTGGTAGAGATCATTGTCTATAAGATAGAAAGCATTCTCGATCGCTGTTGGCTTAACCAAAGTCCCACAGAAATCGCAAATACCGGATCGCAATGTACGAGGTTTGGTCTTTTAGTGAGCGAATACAAATCCAAGCTGTGAGCACCATGCCTGCCCGTCACGCAGATATCGAATAAAGTTTGAATAAAGATATCGAAATTTGGTTTTATAAGTCAACCCAAGACCAGACCATATTTTAAAGCTCTGGATTGGATTTGTATTCGTTAGAACACGCCTAGTCACGTTTATTTTCAATTTCACAAACATTAGCCTTTTGTTTTCATAGTAATATAATTTTACTAGCCATCGAAGCTATTCCACTGTTTGCCAACATAAATGACTTTTGATTCCAAATCCAAAATACAAATTCTATACATCGTGGCGCATAAATTCACTACCATTTTGACTTTACTGAGATAATGGCAGCAAGTCAGGAAGTCTTGTCACGTTCAGTGTTCTTTGAAGTTGTTTTTAAATGTTTAAATTTTTATCTTTCTAACAGCTGTGGATGGTGTGTAGATTGAAATTAATAGAAACCATGGCAACAAGGCCTTCCTAAGGAAACCCTAGCTTTGTATTCTCTAACCCTAGCAATCATCGTTTAAAGCCTCGGTTTAACCGACCTCGGTTTGGCGAATAGTACCCCTTGCTTTAGTTTACACCCAACCAAATGCAGTTGCTGTTTCTGCAAGTTAATATTGGTATCCGAATCTCCTTGATTTCCCGTGCTCATGAGAACACTGCGAAATTTCATTGTAAAGGTCTCAAAATACTTCATTTGTGACAATGCAGCGAAGTGTTAGGACAGATTTCCAACTAGTTTTTGATATTTTTTACATGTCTGAAGTATATTGGAGTGAACTAGAAGTAATTGTTCGATATAATAAGATATAAAGTATAATATTTCATGTAATATAGAAAAATTGTACGTATGTAAATCTTTGTGGAGTGCACCTGGCCGAAATTTCATGTAATTTATTTGTAATATCACAGATCATGTTCATGGGAAATTTGACTTTTGTTTCTTCACTTCTTAAGTTTCCTTCCACTTTTGAAAAATAAAAGGGTCATTCGAAAAACAAATAAACAGTCACACTTACGAGTCACTCTAAAATTACTCCGTAAACAAACTTTACTTTATAATCAAGATTTTAGTATTGCTTGTTTAGTCAGGTACAGAAAGTCTTTTGAAACCACGAGGATTCAGGAGAACAAGTTATAAAAAAAACTTCTGTAAAAACGTTGGACAAACAATATGGAACCATAGTCATGACTATGATGGAACAATGGCCACCAAGCTGAGTTTTTTCCCAATGGATCGTCAATGAAAGACCGAATCTCGCCCCAATAGCGTCTCCCTCAACGGCCACAAAAGCGTCCTTGACATAAGGTCCGGTAGAATCTATCTCTCAGGTCCGCGGCTTCACTGGTGCCGCCGTTGTAACCCTACAAAAACCAATTCTAGGCAATCTCACTCAGTTTTAGAAAACTCAGCATTTTCATTAGCGCTAGCTCAAGCACTTAAGTTGAACAAGCTGAAAAGTTATGCCCAGTATAAACAGTAAAAATGTAATTTTTGATTTGATACAGCACTAAGTACAAACTAGCACTGGAAACGCATTTCATTCACAACTTGAGAAAATCCGCTTGTTGCAAGCATTTCAGAACAGTCATATCTGCATGTTTCCAAGCTGCGGAAAAAGGGCGGAACCCTAGCATGGAAGAAATAAAATTCAAAGAAGCAAGGTAAATGAGTGAGTTGAGTGTGGTTCAGAATTAGCAGTAAGGTAATAAAGACTTACTGGGTTAAGTATTGGCAGTAAGAGATGAAATAACCTCATTCAAATGAACATTCTGGGTTTCAAATAACGTACCTCTCGACCGCGACAAAAGTTTTTATGAAGAAAATCTTGTCACAGAAAATGCGTGGTAAAAAACCACGAAAAACAAAAGACAGTACTGCCAAAAAGTTTTCCAGAAGACATAAGCAATAGAACTTCATTAGATGTTGAATTTTTATTAATGCTGTTTGAGAGCTGCTTTTTTTATAACTTATTTATGAAATACGTAACACTGGATTGCATCAATTACTTCGTACAGCAAAAGCTCCTTAACTTTATAGCAAAGCTCGCGAGAGGTTTTTATGGACAGTTTGGCTTTTGGTACTCTACCACTGTTTCTTATTTCTTGTGAGAATTTCTAGGGTTTGGGGCGCGATCAAGTTCAAGTGCTAATTTGCCTATAAGGAGTTATATAAAGAGGAAAAATACCAAGTAACTGGCTGTTTGCACAAGGAAAGCAGGATGTGTGGCGCCCCCAGTTCCTCATGATTGGCCAGGAAACTAAATGATGACAGGTAAAACGGAAATCAGGTTTTATTCATCTAAGTCTTAACCGCTACATTCCATTTCATGGCCCTCCAACCACCCACTCTTTAAACTCAAGGTACTATATATGCATTTACACGATTTAACATTAACAACAGGCAGCTTACAAAAATTTATAAGAATTAGGGGTTTGCGGGCGCTCAACGCCCATATGGCAATTCCAAGAGCAAGTTTATCTTAAGATAAACCTAATTCATGTTGTATGCATATACCTAATTCAACATAAAAAATTGAAGTTTTATAAAAATTGAAACGGAATACAATTTCGATATAGAATTGAATGAAAGCCCCGTCGATGTCCCGATCTTTGATAGGCTGAAAATTCTTCATAAAATTGAGATTAAAAGCGTTGGAACTAATGAAAGGTGACCTGGCAAGGAAGATCGTTAGTAACTGGAAAAAACTAACAGTAAACTAGGCAAAGAGGGAGTTATAAGCAGAAATGCTTTGGCTACGGCAAATCTCTTACTTTTTTATCAGCTTTTCACTAAACTTAATCCCTACTGCCAACCTAAAGGGGAAACCTAAAATAAACTGTTTTACAAAATCGAAAATTCACATATTTAAACATCTTTCCAAAATAACGACCGTTTTAAGCATTAATTACAAAATCAAACCATAGGTTAATTTACAAAAATTTGGCAAAAACTATCAATGTTCTATACCATCCAACCTTTGGGTGTCTGATGAACGATCTTTTTGAACAAAAAAGCCTTTTGCACAAGGGGAAAAATGAACAAAATATTATAGGAAAATATGATTGAGAACAGCAAGTGCGGTTTTGATATTATTATCCGGTATCTAAACGTATAGTACGCAGTCGGTTTTTGTGAGCCAGTATGCAAGCAGCCTCGTTCTTGCCACCGCAATACTGAGACGACGAGAAGACAGTCAGTAATTTCCCATTCAACTGCACCTGATGGGAAAAAATGTGGTTCAACAAATGCCTTGAAGTTTAACACAACCCATCAACACAGAAATCCTAAAGTCTAGTTTTTATAACTTCGTCTATTTATCTAATCACAGAAGAATACTCTTTTTTCGAATACTAAGTATATCAAAGCTATATTGAAACGAAACCACAGACGCGTGATACCAAACCTTGGAAATATGAAAGGCAAATTGCCTCTAACACTAATGAGCCTTAACTTGACTTTCCTTTGCGAAATGTTGGAATTCCTTATAGGAATTCCTCTTACTCGTGATAATCAAACACAAACGACAGCAACGGAAATCACAACTAAAGTGATTGGTAGACTGTTTTTGGACGCCCTTCCCATTTTCAAAAATTGATTAGAATCTTGCGAGGAGCGCAATTTCATCTTTGCAGTGCAGCGCCATATGATAGCTGAAACTCAAAAAGAGCAATACGGCTGCCTAACACGCAAGCCATCAACGGAGTCAGAGTTGTAACAGAGCCGTCTTATACGCATGAAGCTTTTATCGTTTTCAAAATGACCTAAGAATTCAACTGATATTGCCTAACAATGTTTTTTAAACAGGCAATCGCAGTCAAAACTTCTTGGTACAAGGACATGCAGCCTATGCAGTGACATTGGAAAGCAAGACTATGGCCTTTTCGGCAAGCTTTGTCTTCATGAAAGGACAAGTAAATAGAATGATGAGAAATGAAACAACAGCCATTCCCACGAAAGAAAAATTGTTCAAAGCATTAAGAGCACTTGCTAAAGATAAAGTTATAATTCCGGACACGAGATCACTAGAAAGAGCCATCTTTATATAATACAGTGGAACCTCAATTAACGGACATTTCTGTACAACAGACATCTCTCAACAACAGACATATATTTTTCACAAATGCTCTAAACACCCATAAAGGTACCTCTAAACAACAAACACTTCTATACAACGGACAATTACACTGATCCGAACGGTGTTCTTTATATGGAGGCTCCACCTTATCATCATTTTAGTACTTAAACATTTCCTTTTTCTTGCTGTGCTCAAACGTTGAAAGGGTTTTCAATGTAAATATTGTAAATAAACAAAAATGAATATCACAAGCCGTAAATATGAAGATCAGTATCATGCAAAAATCATACCTCGAATCCTTTTTGTTGAACTTCATGGGCGCGAACAACATGTGATAATCCATTCTTGTCCAAGAAATCTTCTAATGCCTCAGAACTGGTTTAAAAATAGAAAAACTGTTCAACATATGAAACCTTAGGAAAATGGGGTATCTAGGAAGGGAGTTTTGAGAATCAAACGGCCATCCTAGTGAAGTTGGTCATAAAATGCATATAAAATTTCTCCGCAGTGAAATTTGAAGCAGCTCTTTTGAAGCAGCTCCTTTTGTTTTTCATGATTCTTTTCAATCCGACGAAAAATGTTTTCAAAGCGGCACGTTGCGAAAGTTTTAATGGTGTGAGTTCAAATCTGGTTTTTTTCAGTTACAGAGCGCTTGGCATAATTTTTTGAAACAGTGCAGATTCTTCAACTCGCCCTTGGTCAGACAAAATTGGCCCGTGCCTAAATTTTCCACCCAGGTTGAGAGAGCGAGTTGATCTCATCCCGGGGTGAGGGTTTCTTATGTGAATTAATTCACCAGAAACAAAAGATTTTTTGTCGTCAGTTTGAAACGAAACCCGCTTTTTCAACTCACGTTGAATTTCCTTACGTAGAAGGCCTTCAAGAACGAGAAGCCATAATATCAAACCAAAATTACTACAATCACTCCAAAAAGCCTGAGACCTAGATCTCTTTATCCTTCCTTTAGTCATAGTCATTGTCATGGGGCATAACAACACAGAGAAAAAAGACCATAAAAGACGAAAAAAATTTTTTTGTCCTAACAGATAACAAATTCAATTTAAAAAACAAGAACCTGAACATATGGGCGGTTCCTCGTTTGAAATTGCCAGTGAATCCATTGTTGTCATGCAAATCTTTTTCAATATCTGCATCTCTGTCTTCATCCCTAAAAAACCCAATCCGCTTATAATGATTGAAAAACTTTTTCTATTGAAAATATACTGCCAATATGAATGTGATATAAATATTACAAAAATGAAAATAACGCTATTCCTAATTTTATGTACATAATATGAACAAAACTTACTAGATCTAATATTACTACTATTATGAATATCATATGAATTCTACTATTATAAATATGGTATGAACACTATTTAGCTCTCTACCTTATAACGCTGGAAAATGTTGACTTCCGAATTTCTCTGACTATCTATTTGATTATGATTATGAATATAAAAGAGAGGCTTGTGAATGAGCCAGCTTATACTCGTTTGAAAATGCAGTAAGTCGCTTTCATGTAAAGTTTACAATAGTTAAAATAATAAAAAGTCATGATCCTGGAAAGAGGGGCAGATAAAGACCAAAGGAATGTAGCCAATAACGAGCTAGAAGATGAGGTTAGGAGAATGCTTTCTGGATGATATTGAAAAATTAGTTCTGTACAATGAAAATCATTGTTTACTAGCCTGCTGTAAAGTGATCAACGAGGTTTAGGAAGAGCTATAGACGTATGATGATTGCATTAAGCGTGAATCTCTGAGTTGCAACTTAGGCGACTTTCCGCTAGCCTGGGTCAAATTAAAAACTGGTTAAAATGTATTTGTCTTTAAAGTGAGTTTATGAAAACGACAGTTTGCTTTAAGCTCGTTCTAATCCGTTTTTGATCGTTTCCACCAAGCTGGGTTAAAATGTACCTAGACTTAAAAGGTATTCTAGGTAAATCAGATTTAGATTATTAAAAACAGAAACCAAAGCACGCAGGGCTGTGAGAGAAATCAGTCTTTACAACAATCGTCCGTAATTTTTTGGTCATAATCTGAAACTTTTGATGTGTATTTCTGATTGGAGAGGGATTGTGAAGCAGGACGTGAGAAACTTTATCAAGTATCTAAACCAAACAAATCCAGAACGAGTTTGAGGGAATGAAAAAGGAAATTGTATTCAAAAGCTTCATTTTGCAAAGCATATATGCGAGGTTGGCTAATAAACAAGGGGGCTTAAAATAAAAGAAATAGGGTAACTTTAAAAATTTTGAAGTGAGAATAATAGAGTTACCAGGAAATGGAAAAAAGCCCTAAACTCAAACAAATGAAGATGAGTAACTGATAATAGCAGCATCAGATCAAAATAAACATAAAAGGGACCTTAACGGCTCCTTGCAAAGCAGCATAAATTAACCAAATTTTCACATACCCCGAACTGCATTGCAAAATCAAACTAAGCAATTAACAAGAAAAAGAAACCTCAAGCTACAAACCTCAAAGGGTCACTCCACATGAGATCCCAAGCAAGAGGACTTTGCTTTTCAGGGTCATTCAAATGCGTTGGAATTGATTCGATTTCTGACAGCATCCCTTGACCATGTTTGAGTGATGGTATTCCCCCATGTACGCAAAATATCTGCAAAAAGAGTAAAAAAAGTTCTGATGTTGCAGCTATACCTCAGGGGAACGTGTCCAAGAAATGCTAGTTGAAAAGCTTACCACGACTACCGGATTCACCTTATTACCGATTACACACTTTGTTTATTTAGCAAAATATTCACATATACGAATCTTTGTTATTTCAACTAGAAAAAAATGCTTAATAACGTCCTACTACGGAACCAAACTTTCGGTATGGTTAGGTAGCCTGCCAAATGCTTGACTGTATGAAACTCTTGGAGCAATACGAGATGTTTTGCAATCTCGATTTTTTTCTGTTCCTTTGACAAATCCATACAAATATTTCTTCCCAGGCAATACAAAACTTTGAATCGTTAACTTCTCTTCCAGGTTCCAATCATAAAATGTATACATCTGTACTATGTAGGTTTTAAAAAACACTTAAGATGCGAACTATGGCTTTCAAATCTGACACTCAAACCAAGACCACATAATGTGTACTCTGTGAAAATGAAGGCTTCATAAAAATATGTAAAGTTTAACAACTGTGAGGGGATATATGTTTTTGAATCGTTAATTTATGTCTTTTTGGATAGTGATTATGAATGAAAATGATGCGTTTCAATTTTCTTTACGAATGGTATTACCTTTTTAATTAAAAAAGACGAACGAGTCCTGGCGATGTAGAAAATTTCCATACATCTTAACTTTTCAATTGTCTCAGATTTTAAAATTTATTTCTGCTAAAATATCACGAAAAGAAATTTACCTTTTTATCAATTACTGCAGCGATAGGTAGACAGTCAAAGCAGCTATTCACAGCTTCCCAAACTTTAGGCCCAAACGTGGCACCAAACTTACTTATACATTCTCTGTAAGACAGAACATCGTGTAAGAACATCCTACAAACCTACTAGTACATCTTGTTACAACGTGAAATGAAGGTAACAGACAGTGGAAGTAACTAACCGTGGTCTATGCTAAATTTGCCTGTATTTACAAAGTGGTAATGAATGATACATCAAATTTATCTGCAATGGCTTTTTTAAAGTTTTTGGTTTCATTAAGCTACAGTAAGTATATATGGGGAGATAGGTAGGCTAAGGTAAAAGGGCTTTTTCATTCCGAATTCCAATTACATGCGAGGATTTCCCTTTTAAGTCCTCATTTGCTGCAAAGCATATAGAGAGAGCCCGAAATATCACATCAACGGTATTTTTGTAGGCATGTTAGATTCACAATCGTTCATTTTTTACTTATATTTGCGTATTCCAAAACAATAGGAAAGGGGGTCGTCTTTAGTTTTTATATAGTATAGGCCTATATATGGCTGCACTTTCTAGCTTAAGTAATATATATCAATCATTTTTATAGGTGCATAAGTAAATACACACTGAAACAAAGTAAAGAAGCGGTGTGTGACAATTATATGTTGTCACTGGAATCAAATAGACATGAAACATAACACAATGAATTACAGAAATAATGAGACTGTTTTCTAGTATCAATGAGAATTCTTGGATTAAGCTGGTCTCAATTCTTCGGAGAGATTTATGCAATGGAGGCTGGACTGAAGAAATGGCAGCATAAAATTTTGGAAACTAGAGAGTTCTAGAAACTTGCAGCTTTGAAAACAATAAGGAAATATTCCGAGAGAGGAATTATCGGTGAGTGTTTTAAGAGTTAGTCAATTCTAGACCAGAATTTAATAAAAAGGCCATACAAAAATATAGCTTAGCAAAAATCAACTCTACTCACCCATAAAAAGTGTGCATCCTCTGAATCCCTCTAATTTCGTGATTGCCACGAATCAAAATGAATTTCGATGGGGCAAGAATCTTGTGTGCAAAAAGATAAGCCACGACCTAAAACGCAATTTATCAGTAAAAGTAAGTTGAGAGGACTCCAAACAGTGCCAAAAAATCGATTCATAATCGAGAAGATTTAGAACAATGGAATGATTCGAGGAAGTCATTCTCGTAGTGATCCTTGAAAGATCTATCGAGGCTGAGCATAATATTTGTTCCCAGCTAATGACGTTGTGTTGGTTTGGACATATTCACAGTGAACAATTTCCGCAAGAGAGTGTGGATAAGATCATCAATGTATGCTTCGGGGTAGCCTTTGTAGATACCGAATAACGATAGCATTAATAAACTAGGGTTCAAGGCTAAAATCATTGTAGAAAACTTTGGCTGCATAAATTGCTTATGGAAGTGACCAAAACAGAATGAAATTCTGCTTCGTACCTTACCTAAACACAAATACAGAACTGTCTGTCCCCTACATGATAGGTTTCATAAAGAAGTTTTGAAAGTCTTGACAAAAACTACCAGAGTTCCCCCTCTAGTTAGCTCCTCAACACATCTATCAAGAATCTGAAAGAAATCAGACACCATAGTACATCAATTTAAGAAGAATATATACCTCAATTCCGAACTTGCCACGATCAACGTAATCACCCAAGAATAGAAAACTGCATGGAGTAAGGATAGGCCCCATTCGCCATAAAACTTTCTCAAAGCACACAAGGTCAGAGAAATTACCATGTACATCACCTGTAATGGTGCACAAAATGTTTTTAGAACTGGCAAATGAACTAACATAAAAGATAAAGGGGCAATAGGAAATTAGCCTCTAGATGTATCTAAATATATTAAGGATACTTTGGCAGTACTGGAAAGTTAGATTTTCAAGAGCTAGGCTCTTCACAAACTTATCATTTTTGGCTGCGCGAGTACCTTTTGGCTGAGACAATGTGATGAGCAGAATGGATAATTTTTGTTTATTTATGTCTACAAAAAGTTACGTTTTTAGGGAAAATAAAAGATCGATTCTAAATTGCTACTCCGAGTTTCAACCTGAATGCAATCATCAAGCAACGTTTGAAACTCCTCTCTCTATGGGTGCTATTAAATTTAGTTGTTATGTCCTTAAAGATATCACGAACTTCATATAACAACAACTAAATATAATACCACGCATAGAGTAGCTTTAACAGTTGCAAAATTATTGCATCAAGTGTGAAACTCAGACTTGCAGCTTCGAACTTTTGTGTTCTATACACGAAAGCTTGTACAGCTCTACCAATACGGCATCGCGCGCTTTACGACAAACCAGTGAAACAGTAATATTCATTAAAAGCATTGACTTAAGTCACAAACATAAGCCTTAAATAGCCATTTTTTGGAAGATAAGCCTTATTAGACATCAGAAATGATTGCTGCCTTTTATGTTTAATTGTGTTTTTCGTAATGTGAAAGATTCTCCTTGGAAGGGTGGTGGAGGGAGATATTTAGAATTGTCGTGCGAAATATTCAGAAATGAGCTATAGGCAAAGCAGTGCGAATAGCAAGTACAGGATATTAATGGGAAAGAGTCTATTTAATGCTGTGACAATCATTGTGAATAAAAGTAAAAGTTTAAAACAAACTACGACGAAGAAAAGGCTAGAAATAAAAGATATTTTGGGCAGGCAATTAAAACGTAGCCTCGCATGAAAAAGTAACACATGATAAGCGTTTCAGAGTGCCCAGATAACTCTGGTTTAATTAACTACATTGACAGAAACCGAATTGCAAAAAAAAGAACAGAAAAATGTTTGACTTACCAAGGATATAAGTTGGTGATTCTAATTTGACCAGGCGTGGTTCTATACTGACAATATCCAACACTTGCTGACATATTACCAGAATGCACCTTGCCAATGCATCCATATCGACCACACCCCAAGTAAATGCGGACTTTGGATTCACGCCTGCGCTGTTCACTTTGATTGGTCTTTCGAAGTATTTGAGGCCAGTGAGCATCTCATTTGCAGGGGTGTTCTTAAAGATGGAATAAAAAAAGATGTAAGAAAATGCAGAACACAAAACTAACGTATCTGGAAATTTGTGCTGACGTTGACTTGAATCCCAATGCAGAAAAGCAAACTCAGATTTTCAAATGGATGATGACAATATCAAACCAAGTAATGTATATTGCTATCTAAAAACAAATATGACACTTTTTGGAAAGATATTTTATAGTGGGTCGTCATTTTGCCCTTGAACCCCCTCCCCCTACTTTAATCTTGCATCATTTTATCATTTCATTTGGATACTCATTTACAAAGAGCCCCCAAAATCTTGATTTAAATTACAATGTAAATATTGAAACTTTCGGTTTGAAACCAAAAACACATTGGGGCATGTCTTAAAGAAACCAAGATTCCTCTAGTACGTTTAAAGCATGACATCGGTATCTTTGGATCGAAGAAAGGTGAGTGCGAAGCACGGAGAATGTGAATTAAAAGGTGCCTGTCCGACAGAAATCGAAGACATTTCCCAAACGGCCTCCTAACAGGCGTATCCTAACAGGCACATCCTAACAGGCACATCCTAACAGGCACATCCTAACAGGCACATCCTAGCAGGCACATACTAACAGGCACATCCTAACAGGCACATCCTAACAGCCTACCAAAACATCTTAATTCATATTTGCACATGACCAGTTGATATACAATTCTTATTAGCAATGTCATACTAAAGAAGACGGCAAAATGTACAATGAAACATCATACTAATATATTATCGATTAAACACAATCCAGTTAGCTTAACGTAGTCTTGCTGCGGGTAATTATGTACTCAAAAATTAATTCAACCAATAGTACCCAGTGACATCTTAATCCATAACACCAGTGCTATTTGACAACTGGCTATACTTCGATCGAGGAGCAAATCACTATATGAAAATCTCGTAGACCTTTGATGGAAATCCTAGTGTTGTATCTGGGATAATATAAATCCTGTTTTTGAAAATCTCGTACGCTATTTTGCAGAACTGAATTGCCCCTTGACTTCAATGAATCTCTTATGCATATGAAGAGAATTTCCTAAGGTTTGAAAGCTGCACTCACTGCACAACTGATCGTATATTTCATTAGAGAACTAACTCCCAGGATAATCTTCGTCAATCGCCAAAAGCCGGACCAAGCCAATACATACATGCAGAAGACAGATATTTCAGGCAATGCTATTGCTAATATTTCAACAGATAAGATTTTTAATGTATGTCCTTTGGCGAACCTAAAGCGGGACGGGAAAATATGTGAAACTGGATTGGATGCATTGACTTTATCTAAAGAATTTTTCAAATGATAAGGAAACGTACCATATTAAATGAATCCACGGACGTTAGCCTGAGGAATTTCGCTTTCATCTCATCTGAAAATATACTAGCCCCGTTTCCGGGTAAGTGTGATTTTCCAAACAGATCAGCGAGTGTCACAACATCCATCATTGTGCCACTTCTTCTTACTTTAACAGAATGTGTTGCAAGCTCGTATCTGCAATGAAAGGAAAAGGGCTTAAATTAAATGAATTAAAACCCCGTCTCGGTGACACAAACCCTCTGCTTGTGAGGAATATTTTCAAACTGTGCCCTCCTTGTCCATCGAGAAAAGCATTTGACATACAGTCTTTTGGGGGTAAATGCTCTGCGACAGCTTTCAAAAAGTTAGACCGTGACTGTTGTTTCATTGAGACAAAATACAACTCACCCAAGTCGGATCTATTCGGACAAGATAAAGTAGTCCGACATATGCAGAGTCCGACTAACACGTATGAAAAACTGAAATAAAGCATCATAGAGCAAAAAGAAAGATTCGGCAGTGAAGACCGTCGGAGTAAAGAACGTGCTTTTCATTAATGCCGGAACAGCATTCAACAGTAGTTAAAGATGTGCTACTAAAGAAGTCCATTGAGCTGTAAATGTGTAACAATATCTTGGTTTGCAGTTAAAGTTCGACTTAAGTAATGAAAAAATTTATCAGTTTCGGTTTACACAATGCAAATTGACAGAGTTTATACCACATAAATTGGGACTGGGCATTTACTACCGAGTTTGGAAATATCATACCTACGCAAGTTCGACTAATGTGAAATTGACTGCAATAAAAGGCCTAAAATAACGAATATTCTGTTCAAGATTTCACCCCTACATACTGTTTATATGACTGCATCATTTCTACATCCGTAACTATCTATGGCTTCTGGAAAATAATGGCTTCTTAGGAAGAATAACTTAAAAATATTTTCTGCATCATACGGGAAAGGTTCACTTTAAAGAAAGAGCACCCGGAGGAAAGGATCGGAGGTGTTTTTGGTGAATATCTTTATTGATAGTTGTAATTACTAAAAGATACAACAAGAAACAAATATTCCATACCCTCCATTGGCGATAGACTCCTCCGAGCAAGATGATGAAAGTCTTTTTTGAAAAGATTCGATGCTGTTTATAAAAAGAAAGTTAACACAGACGATTATTTTGAACCAGAAAGGCTATTATTAGTATGACAAAACACACATTTTGTAGTGAGATATACAGTGGGTCTGCCCAATATCTATACAACCATGTACAAGTTTTCTGGATCCAAAAAGTTAGCAATCAGTTAAAATTATGTTTAAGGAGATCTTTTTGCAACAGAATGAATATAAAATACTAGTTGGATGTCTCGTTGATGCAAAGCAAAGTTCTTTTCAAGGTTACGGGGGAAGGGGGGAAGAGGGGAGGGTGGCTTAAAATATTGTAATCTAGAAAAGCAAGTTAAATAAAAATATTGCACCTTTAAGAAACATTTTGTACATATACATAAGAAACATATAAAAGGAGTTTTGTTTACGTCATCTACTAAAGACACGTGATCTTATCATACTCCGGTTATAAAAAACTTTATGAAATTAGTTGATATAATGAAACAGATATCAAAATTTGAGAATATTTTCAAAAAATTCATATTTATTAGCAGAGACTTGCTGAGATAAATTTTTTTCCCGTCATCCAGTCGAATTTCACTTCTTTGTCGATAAAAATGATACCTTTGAAATATATACCAGTTTATCAAAATTTAATCCTTTGAGCTAAGGACAGACCAAGTGACCTAGCCAGGAAAAATTCAAACCAGATAAACACTTAAGACGATATTAGTGCTTCAAGAAAAAGTTTTGCACCAAAGGGTTATTATTTTTGCTTTTCCAAATCAAATTAAATTATGTTTCAATTAGCAATCCAGGATTTCTTTGACTCGATCTCTACATGAATTTAATCAGCTTTAACCATAACCTGGCAAGTTGAATAACTTTCTCTAATTCAATAGACTAAGTATATTAATAAAACGTTTGCATTTCAATCGTATTGACGAAACGTAAATTTGAACTTCAAAAATGCCTTTAAGTATATGTCAAACTCAAGGCCCGCGGGCCACATCCAGACAAGCGTGTAATTATATTTGGCCCGCGAGATCATTTACATAATTGTTATTGTATAGTGTGTCCTTCGACATTAAATGTGTTGTGGATTACCCCCCCTCCCCCCCCCCTGTGCAATTGCGTTTGATACCTCCGTCTTAGAGCATAGTGGATAAAATTTTCTTGATCAATACAAAATAACACCAAAGAAATACTTTTTTATTACGGTCAATATTTGTTCGAAAATAAAGAATGTGCCAAAATCTATATTCACAAAAATTTTGAAATTATTGGCAAGCGAGGTTGTCTTTTTATTTAGGTGTTTTTGGAATCTGTTTACATCAACACAAAGCATGCCGACTTGCATAGACAGAAGGAGTTAGTTTTGTCTTGGACACTTCACCACAGAATAGAGAAAGGTTTGATCACTTCACCGATTGATCAAAAACAAGGAACCAATCAAAGACGCCATTCTTCATCTAACTTCACTTTCGATCCGACCCTGGATACAAATCTCTGCTGACCTAAGTCATCTTCCGATTGTTAGACCCCAAAGACCACAAGTACGTCAGTTAGGCACGCTTTTCCGAGCTATTTTCAAATACCTTTTGAAGTGATGTTTAAGACTTAATGCTTAGCTGTTTGGGGTTTTTGAACCTGTCACACTTTTAATAATTATTGTTAATCTTTCTCGTTTTAATGTGTTATTTTATATTATCTTCTCATGATAGTTTGCAAATATAAATTATCTTCTACATTAACCGTCCTTTTAAAAGAAATTGAAAGCTGTAAAAGAAGTAGGATGTGTAGAAATTCCGCTCGAAAACTTTTTCCTCAAGAATTAGACGAATTATGGAACTCAAAACCGTTAGACTTCTTAACATCCAAGAAAAAGATAAGAATGAGCATTTAGGAGGGCATTGACCCTTACCTGTTTATCAAACTATTTCTGTGTTTTGATATGGGTACTTTTTTCAATTTGTGCTTTATCGACGGCTGATTGCGAAAGAGTACTGATGTACCGCGAAATTTCATCTGCCCGATGGCTTGTAGAAACTCCAAAGTCGATATACGATCATTATCTCCAGTTTTCAGTGATCTAGGGAGAGACTGTATGCATTAACTATTGAATAAAACCGAAGAAAACACTAGGTCAAGCACTAAAATGCTAAATCAGGGTATACTTTGGTTTACGTATGTGGACTTTATCGTAAACTTCTCTTTCTTTTCTTATTGTTCGATTTTGTTCATTTCTTCAAGCCATTATAGAACGTTTTCAAATTAATTTACACTATAGCTGATCTATGTTAGTGAAACGTTGCTTCTGAATTTCAACGAGAAGCTGCTAGGCCATAAAAGGGGCAATTAGGCAATTAACAGAATCTTTATAGTACAAATAAAGCAAAATTGAGGGCCAAATATGCAAGAAGTGACAAAAATTTGTGCCAAGATGTTGTAAAATAGAACTTACTTGAACTGCTCAGATGCGTCCTGGTCCAGGTCTTCGCCTCTTACTTCAATCCCTTTAGCTTTTTTGATATCAGCGACAATGGTGCTGCAACGAAAATAATAGCATTTTTCAAAGAATTGTCAGATATTGGATGTTGGTGTTGAGAGCTGTTGCCTCAGGTTACCGCTGTCACCTTGCAATGTAGAAAGAAACCTGGGACGAGCCTAGGTGTTCAATGACGTATGCACAACTCTGGAAGAGACTAGGTGCCAATCTATGATTTACGATCATAGTAAATGTTTCAATATCTATTGGTTTTCTGGCTTTCTGTACCCTGATTAGAAGATAACAACAGACCGAGGTCCTACCATCTTGATAGGCGAATCGCAGAACTATAGTTTTAACATACCGAAAATAAACTGACAACCTTGTGAAAAAATTGAGTATCGAGATCGGAAAGAGTTCCCCGAAATACGAAAAACCTTTTCTATAAAAAGACCATTATTAGAAAAATAAGTCTTTTATCGAATAGGAAACCTTTGTGCAAGTAGTACTTACCAAAAATTATCATATGAAAGATACCCATGTCCCACGGTATCATAATACCTAAGTATGTACACACTGCGGATTTCACCGGAGCAGCCTCCATGGGGTGTAACCGGCTCCATTGCAGCGAACCCAGAAAGCAGGTCCTCGTATCGGAGGAAGCCTTTGCAGCATTTATCGAATGCCCTACAAGAAATGCAAAACAGTGGATAAAACAGAAACAAACTTGTATTCATACATTTAGCATTAAGAGAGATTTGATTTCGAAATTCCGGGAAGTTAAGAACTAGAAAATGTTCCTGAAAAACTAAGGAAAAGCTCAAGAAAGCTGACGGCAAAGCGAGGATTTTTCTACTTGGAAAAATGGAAAATGTACCTAAGAGGAAGAACTATAATAAATCTCTAGAGAAGTTCTGACAATTATAGCATGAAGCCATATGAAAGGTAAAAATCATGACTCAGATGTGTGAGTAGTAACTATAATTTAACATAATCAGGGATTTACTGGCTCGTGCCAAGATAAAAAGTGGAACAAATGTCACCGCAAAACATGGTAACATATAACCAACGGGACCACTACATTTAGCTTTACTATTGACACGGAACTGCAACTCTACAAACGTTATTTATGCATTACAATGCGAACGCTGCTTAACTAACGGACACAAGAACTGCCAATACATCGGAGAAACGAGTAGACAACTTAAAGAAAGATTTAACGAACACAGGCGAGATATCATCAACAAAAAAGAAGACAAGTCTGGAATTGCAGAACATTTTTGCAGCCAAGAGCACACCATCAATGACATAACTATTGCACAGCTACACAGCTATGAAAACGAGAACAGAACCACTGACCGTTAACTTGACAGCACACAACACATCTATAATGTCATCAACACAAACCACATCAATTTAATTAATTATGGTAATATCATTATTCGTTTTGCTTTGTTCCTGTCTATAACCAAATACCAAATTTTTCTGGTTGGAAGGCGTGGAATGGTCTTAATAGCATAAAAACATCAGTATTTGGCATATTCAACGACTTGAATGGCAAATATGATTGGAGGGATCCATAATACTTAGATAATAGCCTCTAAATATACATTTAAACAGTTGGAAAACTAGCGAACACAATTCTCTTAGCAGATGATAAGGCCCTGTTCACACCACACCGAAAATATTGCACACAACAGATTCGCTGACCCCACCCAGAATGAATATTGTGGCTGTTCACATGATACCGGATTCATTTCGTTTCGGATTCAAGCGTCATCGTGAGAACAGAACACCTGTTTGGTGTGAAAAAGGATCCGATAGGAAATCTAGTGTAGTCTGAATAAGGCTTAAAATGAGAAACATCAAAGCCTATAGCTTTGTAGATAGATCTTCAAAACAACAGAAGAATGTACGCTTATGTTATCGAGGAAATAGTATTTGGAAAGCACGCAATAAGTAAAATGAATAGCATTATTGTAACAGAACTTGGTATCACTTGATAAATTTTGTTACCGCTCATTGGACAGAATGTTTCTGCACATAAGGTCGTCATCAAAGTAGTATACAATGATATACTACGAAATTACAAATGGATTTTAATACTTGATATAGCACTTATTAAAAGCTTTTTGTCGGTGAAAATTTAGTTTGGCGATGGAATTGAATTTATAAACATGAAGGATATTGACTAGCCATCCGGATGCTGCCCAGTGTTAATGCAAGGTCTGTACTAAGTAAGGTTACAAACAATGGCTTGCATCAAAGAGTGAATGTTTTTAAGATATAGCAATTTACAAAACAGCATCGTTCTAGGACAAAAATCCATAAGCAACTTTAAAAATTCATAAAATAGAAATATCTTGAAACATTTAGATTTACCTGAAAAGATCAAATAAGTCAAATCCTTTTATGTCTAGCTCAACCAAGACATTCTTGAATGAGGTGAAATCAACATTTTTGTTTTCGTTGGAAAATTCTTCAAACAGATAATGAATGGCAATAAAATCTGCAAAAATAATGCAAATTAAAGGTAATTTTTGTACAAGGAAATGGTGCAAGCTTTCACAAAATCACAAGCACAAAAGACACAACATATCACAAGCACAACATATCACACATTTATATCATTAGCAGGAATATGAAACAAATTGCAAATTAACACAGCATTGGTGTGTTAAAATATCAATCGTAAATGAAATCTTCAGGTTGCTTTGTTTGTCTTTGTAGGTGAATAAATGAGCACTTCTTTCTTTAACATATAATTCTTCCTTTGTTTAATTAAAACATATGTGTATTAATAGTTTTGAATTAACAAGCGAGTGATCACTGAAAAATTTTTCATAAATTAATGACAGCTTCTGATTTGAGAAGAAAATATAAAAATTAACTACACTACGTTTCTTTGTTAACTATTCTCCAAAAAAGCCCTTCTAGACTAGAGGGGGCTAGGGGTGTGTGAAGGTCATCCAGACTGTGTACCCTAGTTTAGCAAAAAACTGAGTTCAATTCATGTGGGTTTGCCTGTGACACATCCACATTTTGCAAAGTAAATGATCTCCTTGGCCAGCTTTCATACCTTGATTCAAAATTGGATTCAAACAGCATTGATTTACAAGCCTTACTTAATTTGATTCTTTACAGTAACCAAACATTTAATGAAACTGAAATGAAATCAAATGATTCTACACCTACAGTCATCAATAGCATATATATCAAAGCAATTAACAGACATAACTGGAGTAGAAACTTGACAATTAGAGGCCTTTCATTTCTGTTGGGTTTTGGTTTAAGAAGCTCTTTGTGAGTCATGACATCATCATCAGTAACCCACTGTATAGCTTCCTGCATAAACTTGCCTACCCTAACCTATCTTGTTATCTAATGGCGTCAATCTACCTTAAATTCGAGACTTGCCTGCCCTAGCGCATGCCGGGGCATGCCAAATTAAATGGTGCCATGTTTCACAAAATGTTTTCTTTATAAGCTTATTGTTAAAGTATTTGTTAAGTGTGGTTAAGAGACACCAGCAATCAAATATTGGTTTCAGACAAATATAAAGATATTTCACAAACGTTTACTTTGTGGATGAATCTGAGAATTTTACACATTGATGTTTACTTGCAAAAATAATATTCATGGGTTTCAACAATCTTGATAGCTAATTTGGAGGTATGGCTTCTTGTAAAATTTAACAAATTCACAATGGAATGAATTATAAAATAATATTGGCAAGAATTATTCACTTCTAAATACTGACTTAAAATCTGCACTTAAAACACTACTTACGGTCTAAATCAAACTTTGAAGCAGCCAGCAATTCTTTGTACGGAGCTGTTAGCTTATAAGTGAGATATTTTCTCAGCTTCCCCTCCATTCCTATGTAATCTGTGCTTTGAACAACTGTGTTAATTTTTGTTTCAGATGTGATTCCTTTTGGCTCTTTGGCTAGATACTCACTATCAGAATCTGAAAGCTGTCTCTTTCGCTTAAATGAAGTTGATGCATCGTTTGAGTCTACATCCATTGGGGAGTCCATTGATTTTTGTGTCCTTTGTATATCACTTCTCATACCGTGTGCTTCATTAGAAATAATTTTCTGTTTATCGCTGTGAGTTTGTTCTGGATGTTGGGCAGATCCCTGGTCAAGAATTGAAGTACAGCTAATCTCACCTAAAAACAAGGATAAAAATTCTCTTACTCAGAAGGGACCAATCATATCATGGGAAAACTGACAGTGACTACATCTGGGTGGCAAATTATTGGTGTATTTTGTGCGAAAGGACTTTGGAGTTAACAAAGATCTCATGTTTTAATTATCATAATGGGTATGGAGATGCGCAAACAGATTGAGCTAGAAATAACATTTAACTTTTCTTAGGCTGGCATAACAATAATGAATTTAATGAAATTTTCAATGTAAAAGATTTTCTGCATTGAAAAAGTTTGGCATCTGCATAAGAAATCCAATGAAAAAAAGTTTTGTTTGCTTTTGAGTTGGTAAGAAAGCATCATATATTTGAAAAGAATAGGTTATAACATTAACTTTGAAAAACAAAACTTTTATTTAGAGTTGCCAAAAACTAGTAATACATCTTAAAATAGAAATACCTTGTGTTGGTTCTCTGTGAAAATCTGGGGCATTAACAAATTTCAAAGCTGAAGGTACACTTCAAAAATTTAAGGGGTAACGTACTCATATTAAAGAGACTGTGTTAGATTTCAATCAAACAATATAATTTCTTAGATATTTTGGATAAAACAATAGGAATTCCAAAACAATGAAAAAAATTCATAAGTCAGTAACATGTGCTTCTTGTACTCCCAGTCTCTGGCAAAAAAGTACTATACTAATTTTATGTTCTTTAATAACTGTATAAAAATATCTGTACAACAAAGATATTCATAAAGATGCCTGTTTCATATTTTTATAAAAATATAGAAAATAAACCAAACAAAAGGAAGATTTTACCATCTAGAAATTTCTTGGCATATTGGAGGTCTTCATTTCCAAAACTACCACTTTTTGCTAATTCATTCAATTCCCTAAATGTGCACCACTTTGAGCTATATACAGCTGTACTACTTTTAGACCTTTCAAAAGAACTCCGTATCAGTTCAGATTTTGCCACACTGTTAAGCTGTGCAGCAATAGCTGTCTGTGTAATCAACTTTCCATCTGATGTCCATTTTGCTGCTATTGCAATAACACCCTTGGTATCCACCAATCTGCTACACTTAAGCTGAAACCGAAATATGGAATGTTAAAAATTAGAACTCAACAGAGGAGAATTAAAAAATAAAATTGAAGAGAATGCCTGATAAAGTTCAAGGAGGAGAATCATAGGCAAAAGTAGGTTAGTGTCAACTTAGACAAACCAACATGGTTTTAGGACTTATTGCCCTTCTGCCTCTCACACCCTAAGAAACAATCAGAGACAGAAAGTGCTGAGTCTTCAGCCCCTTGCTCCTGAGTTTGATGCAGTTATCAGAGTTCCAGGAGGTTTTGGAAGGATAAAAATGAAAGAGAAGGCCCCTGCAAGCAAAGCAAGCAGAAACATTTTGCAACAATGCATTCCTTTTTGGTTAGTTTAAAATATGTTTCAAAAATTTCTGGCAGTTATTTTCTTGCAATCATTTAAAGTATTTCAGTATCTTCAGGCATACATTTGTTACATTTGACTAATTCCATTATCAACATTATTTTATGAAACATATACATTTTAACAACAATATGCATAGAAAACATTGTGAGGAAGAATCAAGAAGCCAGAGATCTACAACCCCATACGAAATTATTGAGACAAACTGGAAATTTTGCAATTTGCACGCTTCACATTGCCCATGTAAATTTGAATCCACCTCTTTCCTCCTGAATGAATGTTGGATTACAAGTTCTATCCTTTCATTTTAAATCATGCATTCAACATTGATTCCATTCAACATTAAAATTGTGAATTCAGAATATGGGAAAAGGAAAATTTATTTTTCAAAGGAAAGAAAAAACATCAACTTCTCTTGAGAAATCTCATCACTTCTGTGATTGTACCTGGTTCAATTTGACTATGAAATTGTTTTTTTAACGTTTTTTTCTGTAAATTTGTCTGTAACAACAAACATTTCCTTGCATCTGAACTTTAAAAAACTTTAGGGCCAAGGACCTAGTTGTTTTTCTTCTCAGTATATGTAAATAAACTGCAGGGTGCAATAAAAGCAAAAAATCCCAGTTGGCTTTGTATTAGCTAAACAAGAAAAACTGGGTAGCCATTACTTTTGTTGGATTCAACTCTTTAAATGGGTATATCTACATCACCTTCCTCTACAAAAATTGAAAGATAATTACACTAAGAAACTTCTGGCAAAACTTGAATTCCCAAAGAGGGGGGACAGATAATCTCTCTTTAGAGAGGAGGTTCAGCTATATTAGGGCAAAATTGATGTTAGAAAGCATCACCGAGGATTTTTCTTAAGTTGCTGATTTGAAAATAAACTCAAAAATAAAATCATAGAAGCAAATACCGAAACACAACGCGGGAATATGGAGAAATCAAATATATATTTACACATTCACCAACCTCGTCTAAAAACCGCTTGCACGCTTCAAGTGGCGATTCTTTGAAAGCAACGTGACATAACGGAAACTTCCATTCATTAGCTTGTTCTTTTCTTACCAAGAATTGAGGGAATCCTTTCTGCCCCGTGGAAAGTAGGTCACTTTTTATCACTATCTTGCAATCCATGTTGACGGCGAGGATTGTTTCACTTAGGCCTAACTTCTAGAGTGGAAATCCTGGATTTCACAGCAACTGTGCAGAAACCTTTCATTCAAATCTTGAACATGTCTTCGTCCAATTGAGCTCCCAAACACCTGCTCATTTCTTGCATAGAAATGTAAAATTGATTACAACAACCAAGATTTGTCACTCTCCTACGACATGTTGTGGGCACCTCTCCAGCCTCTTTATAGATAATACAAAAACGAGGCTTGACAATATTCACCTATTTAACAATTTTTTTGTGGTACAAACTTGAAATGACATTGAACAAAGCAAAAATTTTACAAATACCTAAGCTTTTTGTCTGATACTTATCAGAGTATATAACGTCAGAATTAGGGTCGAAACAATCAAGAAATTTGCCAATATCGGGTAAATAACTTTTTTGATCGTTTCAACCCTGATTCAAACTCAACCAAGACACTGCCCACAGCGGCGAAATTTTCCTTATGAAAGATACTTTGAAAAGTGTCATACGAGAAGCTTACAGATGTTGTAAAAGGTTTGCTTTTTCAAAGCCATACTCACAATATTGCCAAATATGTGTGGTAACGTTGCTAAATAAATCGACTCTTCATCCAGCCACGAACTTTTTTTTAAAAATGACACTTAAGTGCTAAACTCGATAAGAATGACACAACGAAACGAATATCACGAAATGTAACATAAGCTTGAATAAAGCATGTAACAAACTTTAATTCTTGCCGATCCTCCAAAAAACTTTGTCCTAAACTTCTAAACGGTCTGACATCTGTTTAGCTAAGTGATTGCAAATTCTTATTGCACTCTTCTAAATTGTCTATTTTTTTGTCTAATCAGGCCTGGAATTTTTCAGCATTAAGGGAAATGAGCTATCACTGCCGTGCAGAAACGACGGGACGATGTTTGCTTGCTCCAATCACGTTTTTATAACCCAAATTTCCCTACATCCACTCGCTTTGTCTACTGGCTTGAATATCAACAATGAAAGAATATCAACAATGAAAAGGCATTAGTTTTGGTCAAGATGACATTGAGACATTTGTAAGAATAGAAAGTTTACACGTATTAAAACGCATTGTTCACTTTCGGATTTGATTTATGTACAGCAGAACATAACGAATAAAGAATATAAGTGCTCTACAAAGCGTGTTAAAACGAAAAGTATTGGGTTTGATTGAATCATAAAAATCTAATTAATTGTAGGTATTAAACACTAATACTCGAGATACCAAACTTTGATCTATTGTAACAGAATATCTAATATTTCGCTTTTTCAAAATAAATTATTCCTTTTGCTGAAAACTGCAAAACTATCACGATTTATTTTCAGTGGTGAAAAATAGAACGCAAAAAAGCTCAATACAAAAGATCGAATTTTTTGAGAAGCATTTAAGGACTAGTTCCTTGCTTTTATTGGTGATCTTCAATTTCAAATCCTCTTTCCTCGTAGCCAATTGATGATCTTTCTTGATAACACGACGTTCGTTTCACGTCGTCAGTTGGCACTCTTCCGTCATGACATGACGTTCGTTTCACGCCATCAGTTGACCGACTTCCTTCATGACATGTCAATCGTTTCACATCATCAGTTGACACAGTTCCTTTACGAAGCGACGCTTTTTTCACGTCATCAGTGGACGCGCTTCCTTAATCAGACGACGGTCGTTTCAAGTCTTTAGTTGGCGCTCTTTCTTCATAACACGACGATGGTTTCTCATCATCAGTTAAAATTCTTTCTTCATGACGCGAAGTTTGTTTAACTTCATCAGCTGACACTCCTTCTTCATGACGCGAAGTTCGTTTAACTTCATCAGCTGACACTCCTTCTTCATGACGCGAAGTTCGTTTAACTTCATCAGCTGACACTCCTTCTTCATGACACAATGTTTGTTTTACGCCATCAGTTGATGTTCTTCTGTCATGACAAGAAGACGTTCCCTCGGCATCTTTGGGGGCCAAAGTTTCATTCTTCAAATCTGTTTTAAAATTGTTAGTAGGCGTATTATCCTGTTCTTGACAGAGGGATGGTTCACCCCTACTACTCGATCCAGTCGGATTTTTTTGCTTTTTAGTTCTATATTCGTCTTTTACCCCATGTCTTTTCCTCGGTTTTGCTCGATGCATTAGCGCTTTAATTCTGATACCTTCAAGCGAATGAGAAACACCATCAATAGAACAGGCAACAGCATCCTTGTGCGAAGAGCGTGTACTTTCACGTGAATGGTGGCTTGTGTTTTCCGTTTCTAATGTTTGGGAACGCTGTTTCTCAATAAAAGGTTCTTTGACGTGGCTATATTCTACTAAGTTATTTAAAGAGTTGCTACTCGTACTTATATCATCATCGTCGCCCAATGACGAAGTTCCCTTCTCAGGAACTCTCTCTAGCATTGCTTTGTCACTGTCTGCTGATGCTAGCTTTAGTGCTAATGTTTTCGAGTATCGTACTGCAGGCACCATCCTACGACCTCCGTGGTAAATTGACGACGAACTACCCGAGTGTCTTCTACTGGGAGAAAAAGAAACACTTTCTTCGTCATCACATCTGCTTTCTTCATCATCAGTAGAAAACCGAAGGGGCTCTAGTTTGAGATTAATCAATTTCCCCGGTGTTGTTGTTTGTTTCTCGTTAAATGATTGTGAATTACTTTTTGATGCACTCGAAGGCTGTTGCAAAATGTCATTCACTTGTAAGAACTCAGCCTCCGATTCATCTTGGCTGCTCCTGACGTCAGAGCATGGCGTCAAAGCCCCAGACCCCTGAAGGTGGTTTGACTCTCGTAACAATTCCATCTCTTTTTTGAAACGACGCTTTTTTACAATAAACAATGTGCAGGTAACGAAGAAAATAATGATGACAACAGCCAAGGATCCTAACAGTACAAGCATAACAATTTCGACCATCGTCACTTTCCGATAATTAACAACAACCCTTTTCAAGGTATTCACTTTCTCCGTGGTTCGATTTTTGTGCTTACCTCTGGCTCCAACATTCCAAAATGGATGCAGCTCCTGCGTTCGTAGTGTTGCTTGGCCTGCCGGTGGCTCTGTCTTACGCGGCGCGATGACATTTTCGCGATTTCTCTTAGTGCTCAAAACAACAGACATCACTCCGTTGACAATTGAGCACGGGAATTTCACGTCAATTCTTTTTCGTTTTAGAAACACAGTTACTTTTTCGTTTGAACTATTGCTGTAATGAGTCATTAGATGAATAATCAGGCATTTCTCGTGCCTCTGCAAAGTTCCGTTGAAATATTGACGAAGATATGTCGGGAATAGCATCTTCAAATTATATGAACTCCTGGCCTCCACTTCAGTCCCAATATTGTGGTTAACTGCCCAATACTTGATGTCATCTACCTCAAGGATTTTCTTAAGGTCTGCCTTTGAAATAGAGTTTAGTGCTGCAAGAACCAGACGCGCCTCCATAGCGCGCGAGTTCGTCTGCAGCAAATGCATATGGAACCGTATTTCGTATCGTCCCTCATAGTATGAAGAATTCAATATATGCGCAAAATAAGCACTATACGGCAAATTATGCGTTGCTGTTAAATTATGGAGGTTATCTACCTTTATCCCATTGTCTTTGGCAAATTTACCCATGATCCACTGCATTTTTGGTCGAAAACTTCGCTTCCACTTCTCCACGAACTTATTTCCAAGTGCAACTGACACTACAATGTTTGTAGTGCGATGATTTTTGCCCGCAAGTACTTTCACACAGCGATCCGCATTTTTAACAATTGATGTCTTTGTCGTCAATGCTTTCTCGGACATTTTGATAATATTCACAACTTCGTAAAGATTCATCTTTGTAACAGAACTCACTGAATTATCTGAAGTTTTAAGAAGCCTAAAAGCACTTCGCCTTCCAACTTCGAAGAGAACCTCACACTGAAACGGGAGCGGCAAATTATTATACAAAGATGGGAGCTCTGATTTAATGATTTCAAATCTCTGTAATTTTGAAGGTGGTTTTCGTTTCTTCGCTTTTTGTTGGCCATGAAGCAATTTTTTGAACTGAGAGACTTTCACTTTCCAAAGGCGGCAAGTCCGGGTTTTACTGCGTGTGTTCGACTTTGAAACGGTCCCATTTGTCAATCTGTTCACAAGTTTCTGGGTTCTTGATATACTAACTCCTAACCTTGTTGATAACTGTGAAATAAAGCTGCAATGTCTCCTTGCTGGCAGTGAGTTTAGCAATGTTATCAGTTTGCCATGAAACAGTGAGATTGCCGCACCATTGTCCAAAGTCAAAGAATCTTCCAAAAAGGATGGAGAGTCGATGTCCAGGGCCCAGGTTCCAGAAAGATTGGCAACCATTCCTGGAAAAAGATTTTTTTAGAACCACCAATAAAAAAGATCTAATCAAAGATAAACATAAATTACAATTCAAGACCTAAGGTCACAAGCAAACTAGAGGTGGATAATGAAAATAACCCGGTCCTGTGCCCCTTTACAAAACAACTCTCTCACAAATTATTGGCACTTATTTTACAGTCTGCCCAGTTTCAAAATGGCCTTTGACATTCGGACTTGACCAAGCCTGGACGGAGCACAGGCAGGTGAATGAATCGTAGCCAGGGACAAATAAACATGGATAAACCATAACACCTTCTAGCCTCTGTATCACAATATGCTGACCTCGTTGTCTTTTTTAAGAACGTGGGAGTATACGTCAACAGATATACACTCTTTTTTTATAAGAACAATTTTATAAGAACACGAGCCTCAAAACTGGTCAAAAGTTAAGAACAAATTAAGAACAAGCTGAGGCTGAGCTTCTGCAGAATGCAATTTTGAACAACGTTTTTTCTCAAAATAGAGGATTTTTAGCGATGTGTGGGTGCTTTTTCGGTGAATATTCAAATTTGTCAGCAAATTAAGGCTGTCTCACTCACTTTGTTGGCAAACGAGGCCTGAACACCTCCTTAGAGCGAAAAAGCTAGCACTCGCACTGTTTACACCCTCTTAATTAAGGAGCAAATTAAGAACAATCCAGCCTCAGATTTTCGAAAAAATTAAGAACAGTCAGCTTGAACTTAACTTGAAATTTACTGGTTCTTATAAAAAAAGAGTGTAAAACGGTTTTTCGTATGTCACATTTGTTTTGTATGTCTCATTTGTTTATGGTTACCGACGCGCAAAGTCGCAATAAGTATCTTCCTCTTTTTGGATTTTTCATTACTTTTCCGAAAAACTAATACTTTTATTTCACTTTTCCCAAAATGCCATTAATAGCAAAGAAAAACCAAAATCAATAGCACATGGTATGAAGCAAAAAAGCATATATGAACTTCAAAGATAAATCTTCAGAGATAAATCCAGAGTAAGAAACAATTTATTTTTCCAACAATTTTGGCAATCAATTACCCCCTGTTCATAAAAACTAAAGTCGGTTGTGAAAATAAACAGGAACAACTCTCAAATCTGCTGGGAACAACAGCCGGATGCAAGTAAAAGTGTGATATCCAACAAACGCAACATTGCAATTCAATGTCACGAATATCACCGCAATCACGATTATAATCACTATGAATCCTCGCCACTTTCAATTCTCACAAATATCAATTACCATAGCAAACAGTGATTTCTATCGCATTCTGTAAACTTTAGGAATTTTCAGAACATGATAAAAAAAATTTTAGTTTATAGAAAAAATTTCTCGAAACCCTGTTTTTGTGCATCACCTATTTAAAAAATCGAAAAATTGTTAGTATGCTAATTTCAATTTGCTCTTAGTGTTTAATATCAACTGATTTTATAGTTTATTTGTAACCAAAATCAATTTTTTGAGGTTAATGGTAATGTTTTTTTACATCAACGTCATTTTGGCCTGACAATTACAATTTTGACCAAAAAATAATAATGTAATCATCAAAGTTACCATTGGCCTGTAATAATGATTCTGAACAAATTAATTATTCTGAAGATTGTAGGTCTAATTTATTTTATATATTTATAGTAATAAATGGTATATTTATATAAAAAGTAATAAAAACGATGTTGATTTTGATCTGGAAACAGGAAATTCAAGGACACACAAACAGCGAAATAAAACACTACCAAATGTCAAACAAGTTTAGAAAAATGAAATCCGATTTCCGCAGCGAATTCCTCCAAAATGCATTCTTTGTCCTTTTGGAATTCAACTCGAGCTCGGTATGGGAAAACGTAACTTCTTGTGTCTGTTCACAAATATGTCAAAATCGCAGACAAGGATTTGTCACAAGAGACGAGGGTGGCTGCTTGGGAGCAACAGCCCCTTTTGCTTCATGATAGGAGGGGCAAAGGGGCTAAAGTGCCCATGACACCTGCCTTATTAACTTATAACAAAATAGACTTATAACAAGAGACTTAAAACAAGTTAGGACTGTAGCGCCTTACTCTTGACGACAGAACATGTAACTAAAAACCATTTTCTTCTTAGATCTATAAAATGCAATTTGCATTAAAGCAAAAGTAAGATTGTGCAACATTTTATTGGAGAATGGAAAAATTATTATATATTTGGTACTAGTGCTGCAAACATTTTGGCAAAGGTCAAAAGTAACTTTTTATCTTAACTAAGTAATTTCTTTCATTGCTGGCTTTTCTAATAAGGAATCACTCTATAAGGAGCTCAAATGAAAAGGCCGAGAACTTTAAAGAACTTAAATTCCTTTCTATTTGACTAAAGGTTAAGTTTCGAAGGAACTTTTCAATGCAAACAATCATGAAATAGGATGCTGGTACCATTCATTCGCAGTCAAAACTCACATAAATTGAGTTAGTCTGTCACATAAACTCCATTCCTACACGAAGATGTGAATGAAGATTATATCACATCAGACGATATTAATGGAAAAGACAAGATACTTCTTTATTGACATTTCACTTTTACATATATCGTTCTGGCTTTCTTTGTGTTTCTAGTCTTGTTTTCTAGCCACCATTAGAAGCAAAATTCAGAATTTCGATTGTGTTCTTATGTCTGTGCTATTTCATAGCACTAAACTTAAAATTAAAGAACTATCAAGGAACGTTAATTGTTGGCGTTAATTAGCTTATTAGCTATATGTATTTTTTTATTCTTTCTTGCCAACGTTAAAGAAATTGTAATAATAACTCTGTGTATTACAATTTGATCAATGGAGGTAAAAAACAAGAAACTTTAGGAACTAGACCTTGAGCTAGCCTATATGCATGTATTGAAATGTTTTCTCCTTAAGAATAATTTTCCATTCGTTCTTTGGACTCTGGGCGTTATTTTTCTATAGGCACGTAGCACTGATTGGACAACTATGCCGGTCATGTACTTGCGTTTTTCTGATTGGCCTATTTCCATCCACAGCCGGAAATATATTTTCCATCGTGTGTTTTCGGATCCTTATTCTGATGTTTTATACTCTGAGGAGTGTCAGGCGAAAAAGCCTTCAGCAGTATGTTGTGCAATGTTTGCTTTTTTCAAAGCAATTTTAAAGTTCTGTACAGCCAAAAAGTTGTTAAAAAATATCCATTTATGATTGGGATGGCTTATGTTTATTTCCCATTTTATCATTCTATAAACTGTGCCCGATCATCAAAAGATGCTTTGCAAAATTGTTAACTTGTTGTCCAATTTTTACCCAAAAAGCTTCTAGGCATGTTAGCCAATTTGCTTTATCAGGTTAATTCAGCATTCTTTGAGCCAAGAGGTAAAGAAAACCAAAATGTTTTCACAAGAACCCGTTTTCACAACATTTGACTACATTTATCTGGCAAAAAACTAAAGAAACAGAAGTTTGACGGACAGACAAGATAACGGATTCAAATTTCTTACGTTTTGAAGAAATGGGTCCCGAGTTTCTTCTAGGCTCTTATTAAAAATTGTTGTATTTCCATTCATTAGTAAGGCTATTACAGTTTTAAAAAAACCTAGTACCATCTAACATATTAATTTCATTTTTGTTTGGATGAACACTCATCTTGCATAAGCTGGTGCTTATGAGAATCCCCAGAAGAAATTTACAGAGAATTAATCAATCCTGCATCAAGGTCAAGTGTGGATTAGAAAACTCTCAGATTTCCAAGGACAGATTATTCTGAACCACTGTCGGTTTTCGAAAAGCGAAAAGACGTCCTCATGCTCTTTTTCTGTCAAGAGTTTATTATGAGGGTTGAGCGCAAAGAACACAAAATTTACAGAAACATTTCGGCTAAAAGCTTGAATCGACGGTAAAAGCGGAAAAGGAAAAGGACTAACCACTTTTTTGTTCATCTTTTTATATCAGTAAGACTTCTTGAGTGAGAAATAGTGCTTAATCCGAGACCGGAGCATGGAGCAAGAGAGCTTGACCCGATTTTTATCAGAGACCAAAGTATAGAGGCTTAGAGGGGTAGCTTCCTTGAAGCTGCATAAAAGACTCGAACCATCCCCCTCCCCCTATAAATTTGAAAGGACTAGATCAAATGACTACTTCGTTGATTCAATTTTCGAGCTTGTGAAGAAGACTGGTGCACATTTGCACTTACATCCCTTTCAGGGCGCCTTTCAGACACTTCAGTTTCTTGTCTTGGCATAGACTCAGAGTACCCAGAATACAAAGACGAGACAAAATAGTTCAAGCGACGGCTCATATGTCACAGAATCTTGGCAAAATACGTCCAACATTGTGGCTTTTCGAATATATTGGTTATATCATGATCGCTTTGACCACGCCCAAGTCACGATCCCGGCTGTAGTCAGAGTGTATTACCGCTAGCTGAATATTAGGCAGACAATGTGGAGACATAGAATTTTCCAAGTTGGCTGAAGAGGCAAGCGGTAGTTTGGCTCAAGTTAGATAATTCCAGGCACTAAAGTGCAACATTAACGTGATATACTTGTAAAATTGTCCCGGAGTTACTGTTTGCTACATAACGCTACTCTATAGATGTCTTTCTATAACATAGTGGTCTTGAAAAATGGCTAGATTAACGAAAAAAAATCATTTTTTTAAGAAAATGGTCTATAATTGAAAAGTGGGTACCAAAACAGTTCAACCAGTGAGTGACAGGGTAGGTTTGAGGGTACAGAAAAAGGCAACCCGTCCTTTCCAGGAGCCGCAGATCTACGTCTCGAATACTGCCATCACCTACAACCAAGTTCAAAGCCAGAGTCAATGGCTGTTGTGTGGCGGTGTATATTGTTTAGAGAGATTCAGGAACAACGGATGCCTCCAAAGACAGTTTCGTTCCTCTTTTCCCAGTTAAATATATGGCTCATGGAAAAGAATCACGAAAAATAATTGAAAATTAAATTGCTTCGGTGTGGTTGACGATGGAGGTGGTAGCAAAATTGGAAAGTCTTGATTGGAGGTAGCAA